GGGGGGGGGGGTACGGTGGCAGAGTGGTTAAGGAGTCTGACCATCTATAATCACTATAATCACTATAATCATAATAAACTCCCACCAGTGGCCAGTGGGTCACCAGTTCGAGGCCTTAAGGGGGCCGGGGGCAGTCACCAGGTACTGGATGCAAGTCCGTGGTTTTTCTCCATGTAAACTGGTTTTCCTCCACCACCAAAATCTGGTATGTCCTTATATAACATGACCTTAGCTGTTAATGGAATTTTTTTTGGCATAGGACGAAAGTTTCACTGGGCAAAATTTTCCCTGGGCTGTATACAGTTTAAGATTGTTTGATCATACAAACTTTTGTGGATAACCCATATGGGGCAGACTTAATATCACGTATAAATCAGCCACTGTAGTTTCCATTTTGGGCCCTCAAAACATTTAAAGTAAGTGCATGTAGGCTAGCAATAGAATTACATTTTACAAAATATTTTACTATCAAGTAATGCTATTAACTCATTCTCCCTTGAAATTTCAAAATGAACTCTTCCAACCTTTGAATTGGAAGAGTTCAAATGTGTCTTCACGGGGTGAACGAGGTAATTAATACACAACATTAGGATTTAAAAAAATATTTGTTTTGAGGATCCCTGCCCCACTGCAGGCAAAACAATAGAGATTCCAGTATGTTTTTTTGTATATAGAGTAACCTCCCTTAATTTTGTTTTGGATATAACTGTATCAAAATTTGAGGCCATGGGTGACTTCTATTGACCTTAACCCTTTCACCACTGTAGACCATAATGAACTCATCCAGATCAATGCATGGTAGAGTCTACTAAAGTTACATAGGGGTGAAAGGGTTAAGGTAGATCATTTGGTTCAAATGATTTATAGAAGCTGTAGTCATGCTGGATAAAAAGGTTTCAAATGCATCAATGATATGTTCTGATAGTGGTACAGGGATCCTTAAGAATTAAAGCATAACAAAAATACGAGGGTTAACCCTTTCATCCCTAAGTAACTTTAGTAGACTCTCCCATGTATTGATATGGATGAGTCCATTATGGTTTCCAGTGTTAAAAGGGTTAACTGTAATACATATAAACATCCATGATATTGTACAACAAAATAACCCCTAAATTTGATAATGTACAAGATGTGAATTATATATAGAGAATAGTACATGCCTTTTTTCCATATCACACCCAGTATCAACCTGAGACTGCAATATCAGCCCAAGGGCCGAAGGCCCGAGGGCTGATATTGGTTGAGGGTTGATACTGGGTGTGATATGGAAGAAGGCATGCTTTATTCTGTTTATTACTTACTTACTAATAAAAACTACTATCTTCTGATATATTTTTCTCTTGAAATATTGAAAAACAATTTTTTTTCCAAAAGGGGTTTGATACGGGTTTTGTGGGCTGATACAGGTTTTGGGGTGTGATACGGCGGGGGTTGATACGGCTTTTGGGGTGTGATATTGGTTTTGCGGGCTGATACGGGTTTTGGGGTGTGATACAGCGGGGGCTGATACGACTTTTGGGGCGCGATACGGCGAGGGCTGATATGGGTAAGAGCAAGTGTGTCGTATCGCATATACAAAAATCCCTTATTTATTAGTAAGTATGTAATAAAACAAAATATTTTATGTCAATTACACAAGCTGTTAGATGTTTGTAATTTAGATGATTTCCAATTAACTAATTCGCCCCAGAAATTTCATAATGAACTATTCCAACCTTTGAATTGGAAGAGTTCAAATGTGTCTTCAGGTATGAATGAGTTAAATTGGGTGGTTCATGTATTGTCGAGGATCATAACCAAGTTCTTCAAGTTTTAGTTCACAACGCTGCATATCACTCCAATACCTTACCAGCTGGGTTGGAGATATTTCATGAGAGGTCGCTACTTTGTAGCGATATGTACAGTCATCATATTGTGTACGCATGTTAGAAAAGCCGTTAAGATAAACTGGTTTCACATTTAGTTTTTTCGTGCACAATGCAATAAAAACATCCTCGAGATGAAAAAACGGAATGTTTTTCGACATTTGTAGAATATTTAGCACGAGATCCTTGCTCATCAGGTATCCTGTCCCCGAACACATCGGCGGAAATGAGGAATGCCTATAGCTCTTGTACGATACATACCACTTCGAACTTTGCTCCCGGTGCGGAGGTGACGGACCCCAACAATCCCCCCCGATGAAGTTTGTTTTAGGAGCTCCTTTTAAAATATTCGGTAAAAGAAATGTGTTTACGAACATATCACTGTCCGTTTTCATGACGTATTTAGTATTTGTACAAAATTCAGAAACCCAACGAAGCTCGGAGAGTGTTTTGTACGTCAAATTTGAATACGAATCCTTGAACTGTAGTTGCACAATATCGTGATATTGTTGACTCTCACTGTCCAATTGCATCTGCATTTGTTTATCCTGGTTGACTCCTATGAAAAAAACACTCCTCATATTTCCGGACGACATCATTGAAGTCGACGCCCATGTTTTTCGGATGGCATCACGTGCCTCCCGATTCATTGGCGCTGTGGAAATGGCGATTAATAAATCCAAGTCACCGGAATGTTTGCACAAAGATTCTGGGTTGGTAAGAAACTTGAAATCATTTTTAAAACAGGAATCACACACTTTAAGTCTGCTTGAACTATCACTAGGAAGTTTTGAGGAAGTTCCCTTCAAAGGCTTTGTGGTGTTGAGTTGTTTAAACAATTGAACTCCGTTTTCAGACATTTTCTTTGAAACCATTTCATCCAACATACCCTGAATTTTTCCTAAAAGTTCATTGTCCTGTTTGAATTGATTTTTCTGACTTAATTCTTTCTCACCAATTACAGGAGAAATGTCATTTCTTTGACGAAGTTGAAACAACTTGGATTTCGTATCTGTAGATTTAGGCACTTCCATATTCGAATTCAAATCTTCTGACCTTTCATGTAAATCACTTGACACAAGGTTATTTCCACTTATTGAGCGTTCACCCAGAAACTTTTCACCTGTGAGCTTTTTGCTGGCTTCCTGCGCATTGTCTGACACTTCCTGTCTGCGTTTGATGTCGGACAAAAGAGACTCGATTCGTTGAAGCGTGTCAATTTTTATTTCGATTTTCTTCGTTTCTGTGGAATTGGTCGCCACTATTTGCGTGTCTCGTATTGAAGTCATTTTGTTGTTTGTTTCATTTTTTTCGACACTTGCTATCTCTTGTCCAGAGAAACGGTACTGTTGCAGAGAACTGCTACGGCTTGGACTCATTATTCTTCTCTGTTCACTAGAGAAACTTGTTACATTTGATGCCATTATAAAAAACAGAAATATGAATATGAACACAGCGATCAATACCAGATACAACCTACGTATTTTCATCCTGGACATAATTTTTTCTTAGATAGTTAAAACTTTCATTAAATAAAGATAAATTTTCTCATTAAATGATTCAGAAAAATAAATTGTATTTTAAATATATATATATATATTTTTTTAAATCAGTAACATGATATATTTAAAATCTGGTTTCTATATCAGCATTATCTGTTATGACAATATAAACCTATGGTTATGCATTAAGCTTTGTATCACAGCCATGAATGCGAGCTGTTGAAGCCATCGAGGATAAATCGTCAGGATTTGATTTTCTCTACATCTATTTACTAGATTCTTTAATGTTAACAACAGCCGGAAGATGATCGCCGACACAAATGTTTCTAAAAGAATGTTACGAGTTCAATTCATTGTATCACATGACAGTCAATCCACCGTCATTCCCTAGAATGGCTATAAAACCGTGATATTTATTGGCGAGAATTCATTTTTATTTCCCATTATATCATTGTCGTATGTGAGACGCATGTTTTCAATATGACAACTTATATTAAATCTCCATATCACTTTTCTGTTTGAAATCCATGATCCATCTGTTGTCAGAATTATTCCTGGTTAGACTCATCCAAATGCTCCGCTACGAAACATGATCCATTACCTAAAAAATAGGAAAAAGATAATATTATTTAAGAAGTAATGAACACAATTTTGGTCCTATTACTGATACATGTACAGGCCAGTGACAAAATGTTTCAGAAATAAATTACATTGATAAACAAAATAATAAAAACAAATAGAAACAATCGGTTGATTTTCGTTACTTTTTAAAAATGATATTCAGGGTTAAAGAGCTTCCAGCTTGTATCGGTAGTTGTACATGACTGTTATATTGGGAAACTGAAAGTAAAATACTTTAAGGATCCCTGTCCCACTACAACTCAAGGCAATAGACTTTACGGATACCTGTCCCACTACAACTCAAGGCATTAGACTTTAAGGATCCCTGTCCCACTACAACTCAAGACATTAGACTTTAAGGATACCTGTCCCACTACAACTCAATGCAATAGACTTTAAGGATACCTGTCCCACTACAACTCAAGGCATTAGACTTTAAAGATGCCTGTCCCACTACAACTCAAGGCAATAGACTTTACGGATACCTGTCCCACTACAACTCAAGGCATTAGACTTTAAGGATACCTGTCCCACTACAACTCAAGGCAATAGACTGTAAGGATCCCTGTCTCACGACAACTCAAGGCAATAGACTTTAAGGATACCTGTCCCACTACAACTCAATGCAATAGACTTTAAGGATACCTGTCCCACGACAACTCAAGGCAATAGACTGTAAGGATACCTGTCCCACTACAACTCAAGGTAATATCTAATGCTGACTAGGTGTTTTTTTATTATTTACTTTTACTCATAATGTCATGTACATGTTTGCTGGTCAAATGCATGGCCCATTATCTTTTTGGAGTTGTTCGTTGGTTTGAAGTAATATTCCAAGTGGCTCTTCACTGATCACACGGCCCTTAAGTATATCAAGAAGTTTGTCAATTTGAAGTAATACTCCTAAGTGATCATAAATGAAATAAGTCTCAAAGTGTCACTCCATGAAAATATAAAGTTCAAAGTTCAAACACAAAATGAAATGACATGAACAACTCCTTACGGCAAAGGGAACCATGTACTTCATCAGCTATATAGTTGTGAAAGTTCTACTCAAGAGGTTTGTTTGTTTGTGTTTCACGTCCTATAAACAGCTATGGTTATTACAGGATGTACCATGTGTTGGGGGTGGAGGAAAGCCGGAGTTAAACCACTGGACCTACGGCCAGTACCTGGCGACTCCCCCACGTAGGTCTTAAACTCGCAGCCCTGAGTATCGATCAGCTATCAAGGTCTTCTGAATAGATAAATCAGTTTGTAAATATTTGTAAAAGATAACTATGAAAATCTGTTTATCATAAATAGTTTCATATATATATATATAATTTATAAAAATGGATCATATTCTTGTGAATGCACCAATGTGGAAAAAATATGTAAAACATGATTTTGAAAATCTGTGAATCTAAATGAAGCTTAAAGTCAGTTTAACTCATTCACACCTGAAGACACATTTGAGCTCTTCTAATTCAAAGGTTGGAATAGTTCATTATGAAATGTCAGGGGTGAATGAGTTAAAATACTAAAATGACATTAGGAACTTTATTCCTATGAATGACCCAGATTTGTGATGATATGAAATTTAGCCCAATCAGACGTGAAAAGGTTGGGGTCACCTGCCCGACCACGTAGGTTTTCTCCGGGTACTCCGGTTTCCTCCTACAATAAGACCCCCGCGCGCTAACAACCAGGCCAACAAGAGTGATTAATATAAGTTGAAATAACTTGATTCATAATTGTTGTAAAATAAATAAAGTTTATAGTTTGAATAACATCTACCATTTCTTTAAGGACTTTGGTATATGTCCTGGCCTGGGGACAGAACCAATTGACTTCCTCAGTGGGCGATCGCTCAACGCTTAGGCTAAAAGTGGGGGTAAAAACTAAACGAAATAAAATTAAACCAGTGTTTATGTGAAACAAAGAGAGGCTTGATGAATTGTTTGAAGATTGACGACAAATGTTTTTAAATTGATGAGGGATATGTATCAATGTAATACCTCGACAGGATGATTGAGTTCAACACTCTACGTTGCACAATCTGCTTCATGCACTAAGAAAAATGCTTTTTACCTGCACTGAGAGTGAACCAGTGTTTATAAATGAAGTAAATGTCCGACTGTTATGATGTATGAAGGCACAGTAGACTGGTGTTAGGACGCCGGGCTCGTGAACCAAGGGGTGCGGGTTCAAATCGCGTCACAGCACCATATATGTTGTATCTTTGAACAAGATACTTTACCCCGCTTGTTCCAGTCTACTCAGCTGTAAATGAGTAAAATTGTTGAAAACTAGCTGTAAGCGCCGTAATGGCAGCACCGGCTGAATGCTCCCCAGGGAGTTGAGAAAGACATTGGCTGGTTGCAAAGGCCCTATAACCACGGATTATAATGTGTGAACCACTTTGAGACGACCTACAAACTAGGTTGTGATAAAGCGACCTACAAACTAGGTTGTGATAAAGCGCTAGATAAGAACCTTGAATTATTATTATTATGTCAAACAGTTACCACATTTGACCATATAAGGGCATATATATAATTACTGTATATTTATGTTGTTAATTTGTATTTGCTGTAATGATAAATTTGCACTCATTATGGAGGGCAAACATTTTCATCAAATCTTTGGCAAATGAATTGCCTTACTCAGCTAGCTAGGTCTTTAGGGCTCTTAAAAATTATCTAATTTCCATATGTTTATTGTGTTGTTTACTTCTATTTGCTTTAATGATGAATTCGCCCTAATTTCCGGGGGCAAAAAAGGCAAATTTTATATAATTAAACTGCGGCAAAAAGGTCCTGGTATACAGTAATATTTTAACTCATTCACCCCTGAAGACACGTTTGAACTCTTCCAATTCAAAGGTTGGAATAGTTCATTAAGAAATTTCAGGGGTGAAGGAGTTAATAATTCTTTAGGGCCACCCTCATTAGGTAGACTATGGTATTGCGAGAAGCATGTCACACATTTCCCCTACCTAAAATAGACAGTCAAGACTTCATGTCGACTTTGATTTATTCTATTTCACTTCCTTCCTGCTTCCCTCCGGGGATAATTACATGAGCGCTTAAACATGTATCAATGGCATGATGTATCAGAATATGCTTGCATTGATTAATGTTTAAAATGGGAAATTTAAACATTTAAAATGTTGTTATAGTTTGAAAAAAATCATTCATGTATATTGTATCCAAGGATTATGGATGGTTCTTACACAAGGTTTAACCCTTTAACCCCTAGGTAACTTTAGTAGACTCTACCATACATTGATCTGGATGAGTCCATTATGGTCAACAGTGGTGAAAGGGTTGAGTTAACACTTATAAACTAGTCCTTGTAATAAATTTCATCAATTTTTTGATAAATGAATCACCTTACTCAGCTAGTAGCTAGGTCTTAGCTAGGGCTCTTGGAAATGATTTGATGAAGATTGTATAGCGCTCAACTGAAAAAAATAATATTAAGACTTTTCTCTTAGAAGTTATTTGATTAAGATAATCTTCAAATGATCAGATAATTAATAATATAAATTAAGACTATTCTCTCTTAGAGGTAACCTGATTAAGATATTGTTCAACTAATAAACTATTTAATAATATTAATTAAGACTTTTCTCTTAGAAGTTATCTGATTAAGATATTGTTCAACTGATAAATTATTAAATAATATTAAGACTTTTCTCTTAGAAGTTATTTGATTTAGATAATCTTCAAATGATCAGAAAATTAATAATATAAATTAAGACTATTCTCTTAGAAGTAACCTGATTAGAATAATTATATTCAGACTATTCTTTCATCAGAAAGTTTCTGATCAAGACTTATACTTTTCAAAACTGACAAAAAATTACATAACTTTTTGTTTTGTTTTCAAAACTTTCTGTGATTAAAATCATAAATCAATTCCTTTGAACAATTTTGTTTATTTTTCCCCGTTTTTGTTTATTTAATTTTTATCAGGTTTTTTTAGGAAAAAAGATCTGAAGGCAATTGTTTTCTTTTAAGAAATGAATAAATAAAATTATGGTAATTCTGTGAAAAATGTTCATGGCTTGTGTATACAGGTTATATGGCAGTGGTACTGAGGGATCCTGTATTACTGTTATAAGCTCAAACGGTTTTATTGCATCCATGATTTAGTTATATTTGAGAGTGCTCCATACTGAATAGTCTGATTTTATTGACTGCAGTGATGTGAAAATATTTTATTAGATAGATGATCCTAAATTTGAGAATACTCAAAAGGCCAATGATATTGACTATCATAAGCTAATGATGAGTCACGAGGTCTGTGTTACGTAACAGTATGGGTACCATCACCGAATTATATTACAGTTAAACCTCTATAAATCAAACTTCAAAGATTCCTTACTTTTCGATGGTCACACTTACGGCAAAGTCTGGACTTTCCTTATATAACACTGAATTATTACATTTATGCAGCAAACTTTATGAGTCAAATTTCTTGCTGCTTCAAACCACAATCTGGAGGGTCCACTGATCGATCGCTATGAAAACGTTGGAAATTACAGCTAATTAATTGTAGTAAAACACTTACCTATGCTATATAACATTGAAATGTCCGGCGGTCATTTTAACACCTATACTATATAACATTGAAATGTCCGGCGGTCATTTTAACACCTGTACTATATAACATTGAAATGTCCGGCGGTCATTTTAACACCTACACGTGCAAACTGCAGTGTATGAATATAGATGAAAATAGTTTTTATGTAACAGAACCATATTTATCCTGCAATATCAGTGCAGCGGGGCCAGCACAGAAAGGCTGGTGTCTATAGACTGCAATGATGTGAAACTATTTTATTAGACAGGTTGGTTGAAGGGTTTTTCGCCTACATGAATCCGCCCTTACGGGTTTCATCTCACTGACGTAAGTCGGTGTTCTGTCGACGTGAGGGAACTTGCCTTCCCTCAGGGGGTGGGGAGGAGTCGCCTATACTATATTCTATCCTTATATTTTGTTGAAATTTGGGAGACGACTCCAGGTCTGAAATGGTTGGTAGGTGTGTCGCACCGGTTGCTGAAACTTTGTCTGTCTGTTCCTTACTAGTGTTTTGGTATCGTATTGGACTATATTGACTATTATAAGCTGATCTCAGCCTAGCGATTGGTCAGTGTGTTTTTTTTCCCCCGAGACCAATCAAATAGCTAGCCTCATGCTTTCAATTTTGCTATGACATATTTCAGGGGTGCAGAGAGTGTGAATGGAGTGGAGTATTAAGAGGACGAAACAGAGCTAAAAATTCACAGTTTTAGGAATGGGGGAGAGAGGGGTTAAATGGGAGAGCAGAAAAGTACTGAGATGGGGAAAGGGGGGGGGGGGGGGCAAAAAAAAGGTTAATTTTGTTGAAGACATCCAGGGCTCCTATTCATGAAACCATTATCATGCTCAATGATGAGTTCTGTGCTCAAGCCAACTTTCTTGTAACTCGCTTAAATGATGTATCACAATCCAAAAGTCAAGTAAAAAACATTAAAAACAGTATTTGGTATCAAGTTTGGCAAATTGTGATTTTTTTTTGTTTTTAATTTAATCACAGAAATAAGACATTGGCCTCGGAGCACAAAATTTGAGTATGAGCATGAGAATTGTTTTATGAATACGGGTGGTGGCCTAGTTATTTATTTACATCTTGCATATGTACAGTATATATTTTATATGTCAATTTCAGCAACATTCCAACAGTGGCATTAATGTCGTTTATTGGACGGTAAATATGATGGATACTCCGTGTTGCCAGACAGTTGTTGGCTGGTGCATTGTGGGATATGTGTTGTTTACCTGAGGGTTATATATTTGTTGTTTACATGAATATAAAATGTTGGGTGTTGGATTGAGGTATACGAAGTGGGTCTGGTTTTTAACACAAGGGGTTTAAAAATGTGTCGTTTGCAGCATTAAACCAATGGTGTTGGAATTTAACTTAATGGTATACAAACAATGTTTGCAAAAGACAAAATCATTGAATTTTGTATTGTTTTCAACCACAAAACATTGGTATCTGAAGGTATCAATTTTTTGTCTTGTACAAAACATTTTTTACCAACATGTAGAAGTGTCATTTACGAAAAATATTTGCATTGAGGTTTGCATATTCTGTCTTTGCGTATTGCAGAGTTATCTTCTCTTGGGGGCAGGTATTGATTGTTACGTCACTTGTTTGTGAGAGTAACGTCATCAATTTTTAAGAAAAACGACGTAATTTTCTCACACGAACCAATGAAGTAACAATCACTACCTGCTCACAGGAGAAGATAACTCTGCAATACGCAAAGACGGAATACTGTGTACTGAGAAAATTTCGCCCCGGTCAAATAGTCATATTTCAGAGGTAAAAATAATTTTGCCCTTAAATTGTTATATATACATATGGTATGCAGTTTATTCATATTAACTGTTTTGATAAAATTGCCTTCGTCGCGAAAAAGTCGAAAAAATAAACTGTGGCAAATATTTCCAAGTATACAGTAATAAATTGATAAATATGCAAATTAAGTTTTGTTGTGTGAATACATAATGATTTGATGTAAATTGTTGCTTTCAGCATCAAAATCTTGGTGTTGGTATGCCATTTGATGTACATTACATGTATCGGGTAGGTGAATCGGCCGAATATTTGTGGATTTTGATTAATCAAGTTTGGAAATGCTTCAACTTCAACCAGCTTGTTGAATTGTTTGTAACATGTTGTACGCAAATAAATGATTATTTTTGTTTACTAATTAGAGAAATAATAACTAATAATTTTAAAAACAATATTTCGTTTGCATGGATTTTCCGATGACATTTGTGTTTGAGTGATTTGTAAATGTTCTTGTTTTAATAGTTGGTTTTATAAATTAAACCAATTTTTTTATTTTTTTTATCTAATATTGCCAATAGTTTTAAAAATTCTGTGTCAAATGTGTTTTGAAAAATTAAATCATTGAATTGATTATTCAAACACCAAACTTGATTAATCAACAAACAGGAACTAAAGTACAACAGCTATCTGGTTTTCTAGTGCCCACTTACCTTGTAGATTAATACCTCGTGACTTTATGAGCGTAAGTAAAAGTGAGCTACAACTGACAAGGTTGTCCTTATTGTAAGCTTACAGTAATTCATATCCTTTGTAACATTAACATGCATCCGGTCAGGCCAGCTTATCGTCAGCTGTCAAAGTATTGTCAGCTTGTGTATTTTATTTTCATAAAAATAAATCTGTTTTTTGTAACAATAGCTTTTAATAAAAAAAAAAGGTATAAAGTTAAGGTAAGCAGAGAATGAGTAAAAGCAAAACAAAGTGTGTTTTGGAAGCTTTTTGATAAGTTTTCGTTTGTTTAAATGTTTGATACAAATTTGCAGGATAAAAAAAAAATAAGCATACAGTACTTAAATGTTGTGAGGAAAATGGATGTTAGTTATTGTATGGACATATCAGGTCACATGTGTTACAGGTAAATCAATGTCGGTTTCACAAACCACTGATTAAATAAACCTTGCTGATCCTGACGATATTGCTATGGAAACCATATCGATATTACATTTTTCTTTATGTCCAACATAGTATCTTTTATCAAAAATAGAATTCTTTTTCTAAACCAGCCCTGATTTGAAGCAGTGGTGAAATATATATTAATTTTGCAATCAAGTCCCCCCAACAGATGTTACACAGGTAAATTGCCTCTGGTGAAATTGACCTACATACTGAACCTTAGTTACGCCATAAAAATATTGCTTAATGGCCATGGTGACCAGATCAATAACTGTTATGATCATGTCCAATATCTGTGTTTTATGGGATGTGAGAAATAACTTCTTTTCCAGACCTGCCTATATTATATTCTTTTATTTCATCCCCCACCCCCACCCGAGTGGTTACGATGTTTGACCATCTGTGGTCACTTTAAGCTCTCCACCACTAGGTCGCAGGTTAAAGGTTAAAGGTGAAAACACAAAGAATCCAAACCAAACCCCAATCACATATACCCTTTTTGACCCCAAAGGGGCCCAGTGGCCAATAGGTTACGGCGTCGGACATTCTGCTATACCACTAGCGCTCCACCACTGGGTCGGGGGTTTTGAGGCCTAAGTGGGGCCTAACTCAGTCGGCAGGTACTGGCCCGTTGGTCGGTGGTTTTTCTCCGGGAACTCTGGCTTTCTTCCACCAACAAAACCTAGCCCGTCATTTAATGTCCATAGCTGTTAATAATAGGACAGATCAAACCAACCTTTAACTCCAAACCACAAACTCTTATTTCCTCTGTCCTTGTCGTTGCCAAATTACTCTTAAGTACTAATTCCACTCACTAGTCGGGCTAAAAAAGCATTATGGTGGTCTATCTGCAGCGATATTATAACCATTACAATAGGTTTATGGTAATTGCTAGGTGATAGGGATCAGAGTCTCTTTGTGTACCTTATGGCAATTCAGATCCACAAAATCTGCCCTTTAGAAGAAAGAAGAATTTTCATAAATGCATGCAGATATAAACAAATTTGGAGTATTTAGTTTTAAAACCATTCTGCAGACCCCCCCCCCCCTTATCTAAAGACTTAATCACCCTAAGGAGAGGATTCCTAAAGACTATCACCCCCCAAGAGTTGATTCCTAAAGACCTTCACCTTCAGGATTGGAATATAAGAATATCATCCTCAGAAGTATAGATTCCTTTAAGACTGTCACCTCCGGAGTAGATTTGTAAAGACTATCACCCTCAGGAATGAAATCTAAGACTATCACCCTCAGGAGTAGATTCCTTTAAGACTGTCACCCTCCAAAGTAGATTGTTTATAGAATATCACCCTCAGGAATGAAAGCTAAGACCTCAATAGTAGATTTCTTTATACTGTCACCCTCTGGAGTAGATTTGTAAAGACCATCACCCTCAGGAATAGCCTTCTACAGATTTTGACCCTTAGGGGTAGGGGACTTAAGTTTCTTAAAGATGCCCCACCCTGGGGATGATTCGAAAAGACCGCTACCCTCAGGGGGTTACAGTCTTATTCTCAGGAACCCCCGCCCAACTGCAGGGGATCGGATAAGCTTAATAAAGACTTGAACCTTGATATTATCAGATCAGCATTTGAAATAGTAGAGTTCAAACTATTCACAGTACAAATTAAATAGTTGTGTTGTTAGTGAACACACAGGCCCTATGACAGAATTTCCCCTGTTCATAATCTAGCCTTGTTTTGAAAATGTTTTGAAAGTGTTATATATATTGATGACAATACTGTTCCTGTCTTTCTCCATCACAGTAGTCTATCTCATCTACATATATATATCTTTTATATATATATATATATATCTCATATCCGCGGTCATGTAAGATAACGCTGGCCATGTAAGTTAACCATGCTTGCTGAGTCTATCTTTCATGGGCGTAACGTCACAATGGCTCAACAATGATGTGACGTCACGAATTTGGAAAACACTGATCGCGGCAACGTGATGAAATCTAAACCTTTTATGATATTTTACCGTACGCATTAGAAAGATGAGATTATTTTTTCTGGCCTAAATTGTCTCCAAATGACTATAGCTGTTAATAGGATATAAAACACACACCAAACCGATTCCCTTGCCCGGACCATCACCCTCAACAAGAGGGAGCTGTCGACACCTCACACAAAACTTTCTACAAAGTACAGGGCCAACCCAAATTACTCGATTAACACTTAAATTAACCCTTTCACCACTCGAGACCATAATGGATTATCCAGATCAATGTGCATGGTAGAGTCTACTGATGTTATATAGGGATGAAAGGGTTAAAATGTAAGTCACTATTATCTAGTAAACACCTGTAATGTCATGTTATTTACCCAGAAAACAGCATTGTACATGGAGACGTCTTTTTACGTAAACCTTCAATAGTAGATTTCTTTATACTGTCACCCTCACTGTCTATAGAAAAGCACACGCACAGTCCATTCAATAGAAATTTTGTGGGCTCGGCTAAAAATAAATTTAGCTATATGTACACAAAATACTAAGTTTTTAACATACTTTAATAAACTGACAGACTACTTCCTTCTCGAGTATACATATATGTCAGTAAATATTTCATGTGTTTTTACTTGTTTTAGCCTACTTTAATAAACTGATAGTGTTATTAAATAGTTCATGTTTTTAGCCCACCATCATCTGATGATGGGCTATTCAAATCACCCTGCATCCGTGGTCCGTCGTCCGTCCGTCGTCCGTCCGTCCGTAAACAATTCTTGTTATCGGTATTTCTCAAGAAGTGCCAGAGGGATCTTTCTCAAATTTTATATGCAGGTTCCCCTTGGTCCTTAGCTGTGCAGGGCAACTTTTGAGACTGATCGGTAGCTGTGCAGGGCAACTTTTGAGACTGATCAGATAAACAACATGGCCGACAGGCAGACATCTTGGATTTTGATAGTGAAAGTTTGTTATCTATTTCTTAAGAAGTACCAGAGGGATCTTTCTCAAATTTTATATGTATGTTTCCCTTGGTCCTTAGCTGTGCAGGGCAACTTTTGAGACTGATCGGATAAACAACATGGCCGACAGGTAGCCATCTTGGATTTTGATAGTGTAGGTTTGTTACCGCTATTTCTCCGGAAGAACTAGAGGGATCTTTCTTAAATTTTATATGTAGGTTCCCCTTGGTCCTAGCTGTGCAGGGCAATTTTAGAGACTGATCGGATAAACAACATGGCCGACAGGCAGCCATCTTGGATTTTGATAGTGAAAGTTTGTTATCGCTATTTCTCGGGAAGTACGAGAGGGATCTTTCTCAAATTTTAAATGTAGGTTCCCCTTGATCCCTCATTGTGTATGTTATATTTTGAGACTGATCATAAAAACAAAATGGATTAAAAGAAGAACTAAACAGATCCTTCTCATATTGCAATGATCGATTCTATTTCTTTCACATTAAGTACTGTACTAGTAAATATGTGAAATGACAAACTCACTTTGAAGGTTGGCTATACACATCAGTATTAAGTTTAGATCAAAAGTTACCTCAAGGTGCATTTACTGTTAACATGACTTGATCAAACAGATTAGAGGAAAGAAGAGAAAAGATAGAACTGACAAAGAACTAATGAAGATGGTACAAAGGTGGGCGCCAAGATCCCTCTGGGATCTCTTGTTCTACTTGTTTTAGCCTACTTTGATAAACTGACAAGAACTTTTTTTTCTTCTTTTTTTCCAAAGGTTTTTTCACATACATTTCATTATATACATAATTAATTCCATTTTCACACATTCTTTAATGCTAAATCAATATTGCTCTTTTTTTTACAAGGCATTTTATTTTTTGTGGTGTTATATTAGAAAGGTAGGAAAATCAGATAAGAGAAACAAGTAAAAACAAAGAAATAGAAGAAATAAAGACAGTTAAATGGACAGAAAGAAAGACAGAAAGACAGACAGACAGACGGAAAGATAGACAGACATGAGGAGAAGTACCAGTATCAAACAAACCAATGTAAAGGATAGATGTCCGGTACAAGTACTGAACTCTTCTCGAGTTTATACATCTGTAATTAAATATTTCGTGTTGTTGAACATGTTTCTCTCTACCTTTAAAAGTTTACCTGGTATGTTTCCGAGTGTTCAGTATAGGTCGCTAAGGAATGTCGTATTTGTCCCATGACAACTTCCATTCTAATAAAAAGATTCAAATACAGTAATTCAAGATGAAAGTTTTAGCAAGGATTTTTTACACTCCGATGCTTGTCTGATAAAAATTCATCTGTCAAGGTAATTCAAAACCCACATTTATTGTCCCCAGAAATATGATCGCAAGTGCATGGTGTTGTCATGGAAATTAATTGTGAGCATACAGTAGTCAATTCTAAAAACGACTCCCTCTGTCACTGTGTTAACGGGGCTGTAGTTCTCGCTGGGAACGTTTGTCAAATGTAAACAGTTTATATTAACTATCATAAACAGTTTAACTCACCTTGAGGAATACTTGTCCATTTTTTTCTCTGGAATTTGGTAGAAGTGTAGTTTTCTGTGCTATTTCCACTACTGTGTCAAATACTGCTTGTGTTGTAACAGGCTTTGTCAGATTATTTGATAATGTACTGGGTCCTCACACATCCTGACCTGTTGTTGTATTATCTTTCGCTTCACATGACAGACCTGCCTTTAAATACTGTGTCACAGGCTGGGATTGTGGACGTCACAAGGTTTTAATGTCCGAGCAGATTCGGGTCACTTCATATGATAGCAGTGTCACAGGCTGGGACTGTGGAGTACGTCACAAGGTTTTAGGTCCGAGCAGATTCATGTCACTTCACATACTGTGATAGCAGTGTCACAGGCTGGGACTGTGGAGGACGTCACAAGGTTTTATGTACGAGCAGATTCGTGTCACTTCATATACTGTGCTAGCAGTGTCACAGGCTGGGACTATGGAGTACGTCACAAGGTTTTAGGTCAGAGCAGATTCATGTCCCTTCACATACTGTGATAGCAGTGTCTCAGGCTGTGACTGTGGACGTCACAAGGCTTTATGTCCGCGCATATTCGTGTCACTTCACATACTGTGATAGAAGTGTCACAGGCTAGGACTGTGGACGTCACAGGGTTTTATGTCCGAGCAGATTCGTGTCACTTCACATACTGTGATAGCAGTGTCACAGGCTGTGACTGTGGACGTCACAAGGTTTTATGTCCGAGCATATTCGTGTCACTTCACATACTGTGATAGCAGTGTCACAGGCTAGGACTGTGGACGTCACAGGGTTTTATGTCCGAGCAGATTCGTGTCACTTCACACACTGTGATAGCAGTGTCACAGGCTGGGACTGTGGACGTCACAAGGTTTTATGTCCAAGCAGATTCGTGTCACTTCACATACTGTGATAGCAGTGTCACAGGCTGGGACTGTGGACATAACAAGGTTTTATGTCCGAGCAGATTCGTGTCACTTCACATACTGTGATAGCAGTGTCACAGGCTGGGACTGTGGACGTAACAAGGTTTTATGTCCGAGCAGAGTGTCACTGAGTAAGGTCATCAAGTGAACATGTAGTAGATAAACACTGACCAAGGGAGTGAAAATTTGATGGTGACTTAACCTTTTGACCCCTATGTTACTTTGATAAACTCTACCATGCATTAATCTGGGTGAAAAAACTAATTCTAACTGTTATATCTGTCATAAAGCTGTTCACTTGTTAGCATAGGTAATAAATTTGACTGCATGATTTCATAATTTTTGAAATTAGTCCAAAAAACTGAGTGTAACTTAAATAGCATTATTAACCCTTTCACCCCTATGTAACTTTAGTAAACTCTTCCATGCACTGATCATGATGTGGATGAGTCCATTATGGTCTGCAGTGGTGAAAGGGTTTATGATTTCTAGCTACCATATATATATACATATTTTATTTTTCCACCCTGGTTGCCTTGGTGACAGTTAAGTGTGCTATCCACTGCACAACAGACCACCTGATTTCCCTAGAAAGGACTTCCCACCCTTCGTAATACACATGTTTTTCTTTTTGTATTTTCGTGTCGTCATTTCCGGATTGCGTATCGGGCATTCCATTATCGTAGTTTAAATTATAGTAACACCGGGTAAACAATAGTACACCTGCGTGACGATGATAGGTCAACACCCGATATCGAGACTTAACTTGGAAATGTGTAATCACACGTACTTCAGAAATAAAGCTTATGATACAAAGACATTAATTAACTCACGGGAACACACTGACATACGATCAGACGACCTCAAGAAGGTCATATATGAGGCGCATGGAATGCAGACTGATGTGTTTTGCTTACCGACCTCAGCTGTAAGTATCACGTGCTAACAGTAGTTCACAAGCTCTCGGTTGCTACGACTTTTGTTGTCGAGCGAGTTACGCTGTGTCAGATAAATCGGTTCACAAATGCAATTATAACTATATTTGATCAAGATCAAAACATTGGATTTCCAACAGGAAAATGATCAAAGATATGTTCTCGAACTGACGATCGCTTCCCTTCGCTTCCCTTCTTTGACCAACCCTACTATATGTATGTGCCGAACATCAACTCTCTCGGCCTTAAGAATACCGAGGAGAAGAGATTTAAGTGTATTTTTTTTGAAAATTTGATTTTTGGCGGGGAAATGAAATTTTTTCAAAGTGGCATATCTTCGTCATTTTTCATGTTATGACTTTGAAACGTTCAACAAACCATCCTTAGATCGGTTTTAAAGTTATGGACTTTCGAAAAACGTGAGATGAGATTGTAATACATTCATGTTGATACGGATGTTTACCAAAGTGGCCGAGGAAGTGGTAGTATGAGTTAACATAGATTGTATCTTCACTGGACGAATGACTCACTGGACGAATGACGAAATGTTTTCCGTAAATAGATGATTTTACATGAGTATCCATGTCAAATTGAATTTATTAAACGAGTTCAATATTTGGATATGGCCCAAGCTTGTAAGCGAGTGTCGTTGTAAATTATTGAACAAGTTAAATCAACTAAATACAGCATGGACACGAATGTCAGATTCAATTTATCACATAACCTTCATAATTTGAAAAAACCTCAAACACAATTATTTTGTTCTCGGCTGGCTTTTTATAGTTAAAACCAAAGTATTCCGATCATAGTAGTGTTGTTCCACGCAGTGCAAACAAGTTCCATATACTTTTTCTCTTATTAAAGAAAAAAAGAAGTTTTAAATGCAATGAAAATAAAAATAACGAAATAGGCATTTCAAATTCATTTAAAAATGTGTGATATGGTATAGTTAATAAAAATAATACCAGTAGTGGCATAGGGATATGTTCCCATGGTTTTAACCAATTTAGGCCTTATTACACATGTGTAATACCATATTTATGACATGACTGTATGGCATATAGTAAAATGGGTCAGTTTTACAAGAAATATGAATATGATAGTACGTTTTTGCCAACGCTTTAAGCATGCTAGTGATAGCATTTCAGAAATTACTCATGCATTCATTGCAATATTTATTGTGCAAGTACTTAAAGTAAATGTTTTAAAAATAAACAAGTTTTTGTTGTGAATTTACAGTTGTAGATCTTTTGTCATTTGAAATATACCTTTTTCATAATAAATCTTGGTGAGAGTGGGTTGACAAGATACCAAGTACGTCAATTATGATTCTAATTCACTACGTTCAACCGAACATAAAGCATTTATCATATAAAACTCAACACCTATGTATGGGAGTGGCCTTCGACGGTCAATCATTTTATTACAGGAAAAATGTATACATGAAATACAAGGGCACGTACCCGATCTTTCTTCCATTCTCCCTTCTCCATCCCTCCTGAGTCCGGATCCTGGCCCGACTCTAGGAATTCTCTTCCCGGCATCATTCCTGAAGTCCATGCCTGTCTCAAGGAAAACGGGGAAATTTCATAATTCTATGATTTAACAAAAGAAAATATAATTTCTTGAAGTGAGTTAATGAACCGTCAAGACTCGAATGACTATGTTACCCTCAAACCACCTTTAATACTCTATAGACACCCGTGTCGCACCTGTAACTCGTGCAGTTACACGTTACCCATCCCGCCTCAGGCGGCTACCTGTGTCACCTTGGCCTCATATCCGGACACAAGTACACCTGTACTACCTGCACTACATACATGCCGGTATACCATGACTATAATAAATACATTGATTGAATTAATAAACACGTGATGTGCTTATCTATTGGATCGCTATCTTTATAATGTCATTGACTGTATTTAAATGTAAACAATACTTATTGCCAAAGTATACAAAGTAAACGTTAATTGCACTCAGTTCAAAGAGTCAATCATAATGGATTTCAAGTTCAAACAGGAATTTTTGCCACAAATGCTCAATTTTCAATTTTGGCTAGCCCCTGGCAGGGGCTTAATCAATTGATAATTGCCACGAGTTTGATAATATTATATCCAGGTTGACCGAACGAGGCAAGTATTGTATTGTTTGGACGTTAATTGATATGAAGTTCCATTAAATTACATATTTGGCTTGAGGATAATTATTTCGAACAATACATTTCTTGTTAGCTTATAATTCTCTCACAATAAGACGGAATATGGATTGACGTATGTGGGTGTTTACGACACACACCTAACACAAATCTTTTATTTTAAGGATCTCCGACCCACTGCATGAAATAAGAAATTCCATTGTTGTTTAGTGTACATGAAGAAACCCCTTTACAATTGTATTTTCTCGTACCTAGATTGTTCTATCTCGTCCAATCTGTCGGATACCTTTACGTGATATTTCTTACACCACAATGTATTCATCTGCGCGGTAACGGCTTGAACTTGTTTTTCTGCATCATAAATATTCTGTTTTGTAGTTATATGATGAAGTTGTTGGATATTTGATGTTGTAGATAAAATATATTCTACACTGTGAAATATGTTGTCTTCTTTGTGAGGACGGACTAGCTTAATGTCTTTTGCAAAATTTAATAGATTTTTTTCTAACTATAAGGTGCGCGAAAAAAAGATACCTGTAAATGAGCAAGATCGGGTTATCGCAGTCCCAGGCTAAGAATATGTAACATTCCAACCTCGGCTTGCGTCTCGGTTGGGATTATGTTACAGAGTCTAAGCCCTCGACTGCGATAACCCGATCTCGCTCAGTTACAAGTAAAATATTTTATTAATCTTTATTAATTTTATTAATTAAGATATAATTGTAACAAGACAGGGCTAAAGTGTAAGAGGTAGCCGCGCTTCTTAGTTTGATAGGATGTCAGGGGTTATGGCGACTGATGATAGGAAGTAGTTCAGGGGTCATAGTGACTGGTGCTTGGAGGTCAGCGGTTATAGCGACTGATGATAGGAAGTAGTTCAGGGGTCATAGTGACTGGTGCTTGGAGGTCAGCGGTTATAGCGACTGATGATAGGAAGTAGTTCAGGGGTCATAGTGACTGGTGCTTGGAGGTCAGCGGTTATAGCGACTGATGATAGGAAGTAGTTCAGGGGTCATAGTGACTGGTGCTTGGAGGTCAGCGGTTATAGCGACTGATGATAGGAAGTAGTTCAGGGGTCATAGTGACTGGTGCTTGGAGGTCAGCGGTTATAGCGACTGATGATAGGAAGTAGTTCAGGGGTCATAGTGACTGGTGCTTGGAGGTCAGCGGTTATAGCGACTGATGATAGGAAGTAGTTCAGGGGTCATAGTGACTGGTGCTTGGAGGTCAGCGGTTATAGCGACTGATGATAGGAAGTAGTTCAGGGGTCATAGTGACTGGTGCTTGGAGGTCAGCGGTTATAGCGACTGATGATAGGAAGTAGTTCAGGGGTCATAGTGACTGGTGCTTGGAGGTCAGCGGTTATAGCGACTGATGATAGGAAGTAGTTCAGGGGTCATAGTGACTGGTGCTTGGAGGTCAGCGGTTATAGCGACTGATGATAGGAAGTAGTTCAGGGGTCATAGTGACTGGTGCTTGGAGGTCAGCGGTTATAGCGACTGATGATAGGAAGTAGTTCAGGGGTCATAGTGACTGGTGCTTGGAGGTCAGCGGTTATAGCGACTGATGATAGGAAGTAGTTCAGGGTACATAGTGACTGGTGCTTGTAGGTCAGCGGTTATAGTGACTGATGATAGGATGTCAGGGGTCATAGTGACTGGTGCTTGGAGGTTAGCGGTTATAGCGACTGATGATAGGAAGTAGCTCAGGGGTCATAGTGACTGGTGCATGGAGGTCAGCGGTTATAGCGACTGATGATAGGAAGCAGTTCAGGGGTCATAGTGACTGGTGCTTGGAGGTCAGGGGTTATAGCGACTGATGATAGGAAGTAGTTCAGAGTTCATAGTGACTGGTGCTTGTAGGTCAGCGGTTATAGCGACTGATGATAGGAAGTAGTTCAGGGGTCATAGTGACTGGTGCTTGTAGATCAGCCGGCTTTGAATTTGACATATTCTCTGATAACTTGTCATCGGAAAAAGTAAGCCCCGACCAAGATCTACCAGATGTATGAAGCAGTCAAGCAGTACACCGAAAGCTTTCGAAGTTATGGTCGTTCAAAAAACCTTTTAAAAAACCATTATAGATCTGTGACCTTTGACATTATGATCAGGAATTTGTTCGCATACTATGTGTCCCTTGTCCTCTAATACATACTGAAATATGAACGATATATCTGTATTCGTTCTTGAGATAGAGTGTCCACAAGATCATTTGACCCCTGTGACCTTGAATGAAGGTCAAGGTCAAAATGCTGAACTCTTTGTGAAGCCGAACATACATACTATAGATGTGCCAAATATCAACCCTGTATGTGTCTTAATGAAGGAGATGAAGCGTTTTTAGTTAATTTTTGGAAATTTTGAATTTTGGCAGGAAAACAAAATTTTCAAAGTGGCATATCTTCGTCATTTTTGATGCTATGACCTTAAAACTTTGGAAATACCTCATTAGAACATGCCCTTTACGATGTGATAAAAATTGAACTTATTTTGATTTTATCATTTTTGACCTATATTTGACCCCTTAGCGAGGCTTTTAACTTGAGATATTCTCTGAAAACATGTCATGGGAAAAAGTTAGCCCCGACGAAGATCTACATGAGGTATACGGCGTTAATGCAGTACAACGAACGGTTTTGAAATTATAGACATTCGAAAAATGTTCAATAATTCTCTATTTATAGATCTGTGACCTTGACCTTTGGAGTTATGATCATGAGATCGTTGTCCTTTATCATGTACTGAAATATGAACGTAATATCTTTGTTCGTTCTTGAGATAAAGTGTTTACAAGATATGTGGAAATAATCGTAAGAAAAAAACAACAATATCAATAGGTATTTCCATCCGAAATGGAAATCCCTAATAACTCGGTGAAAATAGGGGTTTGTAAAATATCAAGATCCCTGTAAGATGCAAGTGCATGTGCGTTCACGTAATAGCGGCATACCCTGCGATAGCCTATGGTTATACATATGTACCTGACATGTGATATACCATGCATAAGTGGGCTATGGAATGATGTCCAAAGTGTACATGATTCAGAGTAATTTTGTCCCATAAAAGAACAGTAAATTGACAATTAAATATGGTAATTCAATTTATTTCCATCGTTTTTGGTGTAGTAAAGAAAATACGTGTCATTGTATAAATTCTATCCCTCTGCCAAAAGTTCCGATTTTTTTCAAGGTAGACAACTCTCATCAGGATCAAAATGTTGTAGATATTTTATGATAAATAAAATATTTGTAGGGTTGATTAGCAATGTTTCTTTTCATTATTTTATTGTTGTAATAGTTTTGAACAATGTCACACCCTCAAAAAATGTGAAAGTGTTGAAATTAACAAAAGTTCAATTTTTCAGTATTTTTTACAAAAAAAATCCCCAGTATATCGGAATGCTTAGATTTTCATAAAATCATCTCTACATAGTGACATTACCATTATGTGACACTTTCATTGAATTCTGCTGGCTAATTGCGAAAGGGTGGAGCCTCCTTAAGTCCTTGAATAGCGTTTTACAGTATGAATCCTCTTATCAGTTTTGTCAGGTTAAGCAAACTGTCGTCATCATCTTTAACCATCAAGTGCTACATTTTCACCGTTGGTGACAAAGCATGTCCGATTTTACTTTCTGTTCCAAAGGAAGACATTGAAATAAACATACATGTATTATGATCACTCTCATGGACTGTATACACTGTAAAGTCCATTTCACTGAGTAGGTATTTATTGTTTGGTATTATATAATGTGTGTATATATGGGAACAGATAGATATCCTTTTAATATGAAGTATATATATGTATGTACCCAGGTAAATAGGGATTTATTTCACAGATTGAAAAATTATGAAAAAAAAAGAGTACAAAATTGTTATATGATTCCCCCCTGAAGTTTCATGATGAACTATTCCAACCTTTGAATTGGAAGAGTTCAGATGTGTCTTCAGTGGTGAATGTGTTAAGGGATATGCAAATACAAGCAATCTATAATTATTATAATAGCTTCCACTTGATGTTTTTTTACTTTCTCCATATGTTGCCAAATATTTTGATAATATCAAAAATTCTGTTTGTGAAATGATGGCACTGTACAGAGATTTTGATATAGGTAAGTTTGTATGTCATAAAATGACACAAATTTTCAAGGAATAAGTAAAGACAATTCTTTCACAAATATTTTCACAAACTTGCTTCTTTAACACCTTACTACTGTAACATTTTACTGGTCATTTGTTAATGTTGGTGTGATTTTTCAGGACAAATTTATTAAGGAAGGTTATCATTGTGTATTGAAATCAGTGTACATAAACTCATTCACCCCTACATATTTAAACTGGTCTTGCCCAGTCTTTGATTTGGTTAAGTTCAAGTGTGGATTTAGGGGTAGATGGGTTAAGTTGGATAAGCAGGAGAGGGAAGATAAAGAACCATTGGAGGAGAAATCAGTAAATTTACCAAGAATACAATTCATAGAGATCGAGGGAGAAAACTAAGATACAAATTTAATCAATGGAAATGCATCAGGTGTATAAGGGGAGGTAACCAATGTCAATGTAGTACGGAGAAAATACTTACATAGAAATGAGGTGAGGGTATACAAGTATGTTTTAAATTTGTGAAGTGAACAGGGGAGGTAATTGATATATGAAGGTATAATCATTGAGGTGATCAATGTTTAAAGATATCATGGGATAATTAAGATTTATGTAGAGCTGGGAAAATAATCATTTTTTTATCATATAGAGATTAAGGGATTTATTAAGTCATATAGAGATTGATGGAGTTTATCAAGTTCTACAGAGATCAAGAGAAAAAACCCTGATTGGAAACGTCAGGGAAGTGATCTTTTTTATAAAGAAAAAGGGGAGGCAATCACATTTAGATAAGGCACAAGAATCACCTATTAAGACTTTAAATTTCCATAAGGAAAACATTCATTTCATGTATGTAGAGATCAGGGGAGATAATCAGTTGACAAAGAGATCTGGGGAGGTAATCAGTGGACATAGAGATCAGGGGAGATAATCAGTGGACATAGAGATCTGGGGAGGTAATCAGTTGACATAGAGATCAGGGGAGGTAATCAGTGGACAAAGAGATCTGGGGAGGTAATCAATTGACATAAATATCAGGGGAGGTTATCACTGTATGTAAAGATCAGGGGAGATAATCAGTAGACAAAGATCAGGGGAGATAATAAGTGGACATAGATATCAGGGGAGATAATAAGTGGACATAGATAGCAGGGGAGGTAATCAGTGGACATAGAGATCAGGGGAGATGCTCATTCGACATAAAGATCAGGGGAGATAATCACAGTATATATAGAAATCAGAGGAGGTAATCAATTTTTATATGGATCAGGGGAGGTAATTAATGTATGAAGAGATGATCGGAGACAATAAGTGAACATGAAGGCTAGAATGTTACATGTATATTTAATGTAGGTCAAGATGACTGGGGAGGTATTCGCTGGACATCAAGGGATCAAGGGAGGTAATCATTTATAAGATAGAGATCAGGAAAGGTAATCCAGATTTTTTTTTTTTTTTAAAACAGAGATAAGAAAAGGTTATGAAACGCAATATTATATATCAGTCCTGCAGACATGGGCCGTTACCAGGGACTTACTGGCTGATTTAAATATCTAAACACTGTCTGCAAAACTCAAGCTGTGTAAGGGATAGATTATACAAAGGATGATCCCTTGATTTAAGGGAAAAAAAGAAACCAGTGTATCTGCCCCGTTAAGCTGGTTCTCACCTTTGTTATGATAATTAGTTTACCTGCGGTGATTTACAAAACAGCCTGCAGCATGCATGTAGAGTAGCTTCGAATTTGTCGCCATATGTCAAAGTATTTACAGCTTACAATATAGTAGAAATTATCTTGAAAAACATTGCTTCATGCAATTTCTAGCTTATCTCTATGGTAAATATATAAATTTGCATTAATCTCTATGGTAAATATGTAAATTTGTATTGCCTTTTTTGTGAAATTTCAGATTTTTGTTAATTTCCTGTAGCATTTGGCCCTAGCACTACTGTGTATATATATATAAGTATGTATTCATTAAAAAGGTCCTTCAGAAATACATGTAAAATGTATTATTACTTTCATCGACTGAAATCATGTAATTATATATATAAATCGTTAGACCAGGAATTTCTGAAGCGATTTATTCCAGCGGGATATTAATATGGAACATTTTATTTTTTTTAAGTTTAATTTATTTTTTGTACTAATACTGTGATAACTGGTTTTTTCTCTAAAGCTGACACTACTTTAAAAAGCTTCGGGGCTGTTTATGATAAACAGCATAACTTTTCTGTATACTTTACGGTACATGTTAAGGAGATTGATATCTTTAGATATAGCATCCATATTATGGCTGTCAGAATTTTATGTGTATTTTTATTTATTTTTTACCATTTTTTCCTTTGTTAAATTTTATGTCACTGTCTATAGGAAGAAATATTATTTTTTATGTCTGTTAAGACATTCACAACCACATATTATTGTAAAGATTTGAAATGGTTTATTTCTGTGTAAAATTGATAATCCTGTCATTTATGTAAAATTACATAATTTATTACCTGACAATCCATCAGTTTTTAAGCTTTTTTAGTTATTTGGAGTTAAACACATACATTTCTGATGTAAATAAATTAGAAATTAATTATATATCTAAAACAATTGTTTAATTATTACATGTATAAATCAACAGAGCCCATATTTTCTCTACAACTTCTGTGTTTGCCATCCTGAAACTTTGTAGCTTCGATGTTCTTGTATAACTGATGGGTCGTAATACGGAAGGCGATGGAAGAACTATACTATATGTACGTAGGTTCCTAAAATAATTATGACATAAGTAATTATAAACAGGTTTCTTTTCCTGTAGTTGTGTATAAAATTTGCATTGTAAGGCAGCGGTATTTACATGTATGTCTAGCCTTGTGTTATTTGAGTAGTGAAGAGAGCATACAAAATGGGTCTTTGTGTATGTTATAAAGTATTTAGGTATTAGTTACCTTCGTGGTATTAGCAATTTGTGTCGTATTATAAAGGAAAGCATCAAGTTACAAATACCACTCCAATGGACTGCCACTATTTATGGGCGGATTAGTCGAGTAGTTAACACTCCAGCCTTCCACGCAGGCGGCCAGGGTTCGATCCCCGAAATCGTTGTACGCATGGAATATTCAGAGAAAGTGTTTTTTCTCCTGCCCACACAACTCCAACAACCCAGGTGGAGTATAAAAAGGTTTGGGGTAGGTGTTGCGGTATCTGTGCTGTTGCATTCAAGTGAGGTGGCACTATAAATGATACCGTTAGAATCACAGTCCCACTACAAACAGAACACAATACATCTCCAGCACACACATAGGCATACATATGGTTGCTAGGTTAATGCCATTATAAATATATGGTTGCTAGGGAAATGTCATATGTATAAATGGTTGCTAGAGAATTGTCATTATATGTATATGGTTGCTAGGGAAATGTCATTATACATATATGGTTGCTAGAGAAATGACATTATAAATATATGGTTGCTAGGGAAATGTCAGTATACATATATGGTTGCTAGAGAAATGACATTATATATTATATTGTTGCTAGGGAAATGTCAGTATACATATATGGTTGCTAGAGAAATGACATTATAAGAAATGACATTATATATTATATTGTTGCTAGGAAAATGTCATTATATTAATAAATGGTTGCTAGAGAATTGTCATTATATGTAATTGTTGCTAGGGAAATTTCATTATATTTATATAGGGTTGCTATGGAAACATCATTATATTTATATGATTTCTAGGAAAATATGGTCATTTAATGACAAATAAGTTCAAGGTCAGTGTCTAAACGTAACAGAATTACATAACAAATTGACCCCAGTCCCAGTATTGTTACAAGTTACATATGCAACAAAATACTAAATGTATCTATTGCCTTTTGAGAGAAACAGTATTCAAATTAAGAGAGAATGTTTTTAATTACAGGCGTTGGAGACGCAAGTTTTATTGGACTTTGATCCTCCGTCAAAACCTGATGTCGTGAGCATGACCCAGACTGCGAGTCATCCTATCAACATTCCCAAACTTCCTGCGCTCGTCGACAGTACGTATTTTTATTTATTTATTTTTGCTTGGTCTTTGATGAATTAATCAATTAAACTTACAACACACATATTTTCATCCATTGAAAAAAAGTGTGTAAAATATATGAAACTCTTTTTTTAAACTTTTAATATTGCTAAAGTACATTGTTGATAAAAGTTAATAAAAAAGGGGAAAACCCCGAAAAATACTGGTAATTATTACATGATGGACAGTTAATTAAGTAATGTTTTATTTCTTTTAAAGTTACTGTTTAAATGAGTTATTTCAAATTTCATTATACAAGCAATTATTTTTTACCACAAACAATTTGGTTTACAGAAAAAAAAACTGAAATTGCAGTTTATTTATATGTGACTGAAACTCAGATGATTCAGTTATAAATATAGTATCACATGGCTAGGAAATTTAATTTCTATATTGTATATGTGGACATTTTTGTAGTCAAATATTCGTATTTCAGTGGTAAAATTAATGTTTGCCCAGTGTTACCTTCACCCTTCACGTGTAGTAACTATATTTTGTATGCTGTTAACTGAATAAATGGGCTCTCATGATAAATTCGCCCTCATTTGCAGTGGAGGCGAAAAAGGTGAAAGCTAAATTGCGGCAAAAATGTTTGAATTTGCCAAAAAGTACTAGTGGAGAAAAAAACTTCTGTTTGTTTCATTATGTTTCAGTTAGGTCAATTAAATTAAACCTCTTCAACAGGAAGTGGCTGATTATTATGATTATCTAACTGGAGTAAATTATTGACAAGTTGTTTCTGACACATTTACTTTCACAGTTTACCGATTAACTATAAGTTTTAACTGGGATTAATCTAGACTTGATTCACTACCGTTTATGGGTAGTTTTTCCTACAGTAGAAAATTCCCCTGTTCTTTGAAATTCCCCCAATGTGCTTCAAAATTCCCCTTTTTCAAAATAGCGATATTTCTTCAAATTATTTCCGCTACATGTTTTCTTACAGTTCAACAGTTAAATTGCATAATGCTGCATCTATACTTTTTTTTTCACATAATCTAAACAAACATTCTAAATATTTAAATTGAAATATACTGCACACATGTATGTCAGACAAAACATTTATCTTTTACCTACATGACACTAGCTAGAGCCTTGTATCAAAATTTTGATTTCCCTCAAAGCTGAAAAAGGGTAGATTCCCCTAACACCTAGATTGATCCCTGTTTAATGTAAATTACTGTCTGTACGTTCAAATACACATGGAATATTTATCAACATATAATATCGATTTGAATATTTTTTTGCCTTTAGGAAGACATATCTTTAAAAGATCAGTTTGTAAGAACGTATTAAAATCTTATTTTCTTTTTAGCCTTTAGCCTGTATCTGATTTTATTCTGAGATAAAAATCTGATTTTTTGTCTGTCTTTCATTTCTTCACTTTTTTAAAAATCTTATGAATTATTTATAATTTCTTCCTACAGTGAAACCTCATTATAATGCTACTCTAGTCAAAGAGAATTTTGACATTGGGGAATGGGGGGTGGGGATGGGGGTGGGAATGGGGGGATTGGGTTGACAATACTGGATATTGGTAAAGAGTCAATTTTTCATTCTGTAGATATTTTCACAAATTTTATGTGTATTAAATTCATTCCGAATTATAAAAAATGAATTCAGTAGCAATGCTTACATGGACATTTCCTCACAACAAATAATTTTATTCATTAGCTTGATGAGCCGAAAAATGTACAAACTCAGGTCACACCACAAAAAAGCTTGAAGAGACAAAATTCAAAAAATATTTCGTGCTTCAAATAGTGCGAAAAGTCGAAATTAAAATGTGGTTTTTTTGCGCTAAAAATTGTTTAAAGTGTCAAAATGTAAAGATATTTTGCAATGTAAATAGCTTGAAGAGCTTAAATATAAAGAAAATTCTCCCCATAAAAAGTTTAGCGAGCTGACAAGAAAAAATATTTCACATCTCCAATAGCTTGAAGAATCAAAATATGAAAGTGTTTACACCACAAACAGTGCTTGAACATTCGCAGAGTGAGAAAACAAAATCATTTGACAGAAATCCATTTTAAAGTATAGTATGGGTAAGAAAATTGTTAGAGAGGGAAATATGACATCAAAAATCAGGGGATACAATGGAAAAAGATTGGGTATTGAGCATTCTGATGAGGTTTAATTGTGTTTTGATATTTGCCCAGCAATTCAGTTAAAGACGTTACCATACATTTGCTATAGAAGTGTCACTATAGAAGTGTTTGTAGGATGTACGAAGGGTTTATAGCACAGTCAAACTTCAATAATTCAAACTTTGTGGGACCTTCGGGAAAATTCCCAAACATTGAGACTTCGTCTCACGAATATGAACTTTGAACATCTTTGAGATACCATATTATTTCACAAGACCGAATACGATTGTTAATTAAGTGACAGAACTTTGAACATCTTTGAGGTACCATATATACTGCATTAGACCGAATACGATTGTTAAGTGACAGAACACAGGCCAATAAACATAATTTGAAATCTAAAAATATTGGATTTAAATTGATTAGAAAAATGTTTTCAAATGTATTTATCAACTGTAGTTTGCATGTTTAGGTGTTAAAATGATTGCGGGACATTTCAGTGTTAGATCGTATTGTCAATTTTTTCGCTTCAACTTAATTTATTATTTTGTAATTTTCAATGTTTTTATAACAACCAGTCATTGATTATACTGCAAAGCGCTTTAAATTTGCGGGGCCAATATTTCGCGGTTTCATATACAGTACAAATTTGCGGGAGTTAAATTTCGCTGTTCACCCGAATCCCATGCGTCGTGGAAAGTACTTTGAGCATCACCATTGAAGGGTTAAACCTGGAAATACAGGTAAATCGCATTTGAAAAGACTGATCTCGAGTGTCACGTCATCCGCCAGTGACTTCATTCGAAAGAAAATCAATATCGATAATTTTTTTGACTTGTAAAAGTTTGATACAGGAATAGAATATCAGTAATGTTATATTTATAAGGGGAAAACTCCAGGCTTTGTCGTAAGTTTGCCACGTCAAGAGACTCAAATCTGTGAAGTTTGATTGATGGAAGTTTGACTGTACGTTTTTGTCCACTACATATTTTTAAGACATTTCTCATTTGTGCTTTTGCCTATTTACATTTGACATGCATCACATTTATATTGTCTTTTATAAAAAAATATTTTCAACTTCAGCCTTTGGTTTCATAAGTTTCACTAATCATATATATCATTCAAAATTTTAGCAATTATAAGCTTATATTAAAAATCCATCTGCGTCAAAACATTTATTAAAATTTATTAATTTTCTATTGATGATTTATACATACAAAATTAACATCTAAAAATTAACATCTAAAATTGAATCTGAATATTCAAAACCTAATTTTTCATGCTTCAGTATTTTAATATTAACTTTAACATTTTAACCTATAACAATATCTACAAATTTTAAAACACATTAAATTTTAAATCTAACATGTTCAATTTAGCTTTCTAATGTTTGTTTTTTTAATGATAACTTTACCAAACTTAATTAGGTATTGATATTTACATTGCTTTAATTTACAAAAAAAGAAATTAAAGCAATATTTGATGTGAATAGATTTTCACTCTGTTTGTCTGTCTGTCCTTTCGTCCTCCAGCTGTCGGTCCGTAATCTATACTATTTCACCTGGAGTAAACCAGATTTGGTGCACAAGGACATCTTGGGATGGTGAAGTGCAGAATGCAAGAAGAAAGTCACTACGACCTCACTGTGACCTATGCTTCGACCTTTGACCCTTACTTTTGAAAACATTTGTCCGGGGCATATCTTCTATACTATTTCACCTGGAGTAACCAGAGTAACTTTTTAAACCCATATTGCAAATTTCTTCTGTTGGCAACAAAACAATTTTTTCCATTACAGAGATGCCTTTTAATGTTGTATTATGTATCAGGATACTTTCCTAACAGTAGGTACACCCTGACATAAGTGTTAATTATAGCAATCATTATATACAAACTTTATTAATTTAACAACAATTATGGAACAAGTTTTTACAACTTATACCAATCACTTTTGTTGACCCGGATTTCAGCGCGCGGGGGGGGGGTCTTACTGTGGGAGGAAATCGGAACACCCGGAGAAAATCCAGGTGGTCGGGCAGGGGACCCCATACCTTTTCACGTCCGGTATGGGAATCGAACCCCGGCCGCCTTGGTGCGCTATCCACTGCGCCACCCGATCACCCTAGTCGAGATAGAAATCATAAGCCGTGGTGGACTATGGATTGCCTTGCAATGCTTTACCTTGTTCAAATTAACCTGTGTAATCAGACAACCTCTGCTTATATTCCCTAAAACACAGACTATATAGTGGGGCTGGATGGTACGACAACCAAATACATGGAGACTGGATTGTAGATTAGTCCCTGTCTCTAAAATATTTTATCATTCAGAAAAAAATAAGACTCAAATAGTTTTGATTACTCAGAAGTATGACTCCTCAGTTTCAAACTAGGGGGAGATAATTGAGTAGAAAAATGCAGCCGGAAAATTCCTTACAAAAACTGAATCTACTTTGTTGGGTCCTGAGATCTGACAGTACGCAGGCCTCAGACCACAATTAATTCTACTATATGTTACTACCAAAGGAAAAATGAAATGAATTTTTTTTAAACTTTGTGCAAGGTCTGGTTCCTATTTCATATTGTAGGTCTATTCAAACTGAACATACAGTGAGTTGAAAAGTACCTCATGACCGGCATTTGAAAAAGATAATTTCATTTGAATGTTACTACCCTGCATGTATAGGGGAAAATACCAAAAATCACAAAATATCACTGCGCAAGCCTCACCACTCATTGTGTCCTGCTGCCAATACAAACTTGGAAACTGTGTCTAATAAAATTCAATCAATAGAATAGATATTGTTGAACAATTCTATGTGAAAAAAATGTACATATCTGTCATAGATCAGACAGGAACAATGATTTAGTAACCCACCTGAAATGTCCTTATGCACTACATTTGTGTACAACGACCCGGACGTGTAATTGCCGTCTGAGGCCGTATGATCAGAAATATACAGGATAAATATTAGTGAAGAATTATCTCCCTTGTGCACACTTTTATTGGGTGTTGATGTAAATATATTACACATCCACGTAAGTGCTTTATCTACAGAGATTGCTGTATATATAGTCACGTAGTGTATAGAGTCATAAACACAGATACATAGGTCCGATAATAATAATTCAAATGTTTCCTGCTATTCTATCTGCCTGACCCTCAGAACTCAAGTACACAAACCATATTTGATCTGTTGACTGCCCAACTGTCTGAACAATAAGTCTGATTGGCTACCAAACAGAAATTTCTGAATTAATTAAGGTACGTGTTAAATGTTCCGTAGATATATCTCATGTAATCCTGTTTAAGAGCGACTTATGACCAAAGGGACCAATTACAGAATCTATAAACAGCACTAATAGTAGTAGAAAAATATCTGTACGCTAAATCTCCATCCAGGACTAGCAAATGTTTATTGTAAATTTCAAATTTGAAATTTTTAAATTTCCGATTGAATGTGGTAGACGGAATAACATTTTAAGAGAAGATAGAAAATGTATTCTTTGCGACCTGAATGAAATTGAAGATGAGTACCATTATTTGTTTAATTGTAATGATCACCAAATACTGCAAAACAGAAGAAAGTTTATGTCTAGATATTATTATTTTGAAAGCCCTAGTACTTTCAAGTTCAATACATTATTTAATTATGTCAATAATGAAGAATTAATTTCACTTGTAAAATTCCTTAAGCACATAATTGCGCGAATTAACACTGTCCATTAATTAACACCATGATTTGTTTGTAAATTTTATATAGATGTATATGTAAATTCTCTACACTGTAATTATAACCAGTTTGCGAGAATAAAACTTGTCGTTATCATTGATCTTTTAACTCTAAGTCATAAAATCTCCGTTTGGTTGCATCCGCTTTTATGCAAAAGGGAGAATACTCCAGGTCAAAGAAACCTGGAGTGGAACTCTTCTCTGTGGTTATAAGTTATGTAATGGTACCATCTACCTTAACTATTAATTAGAATTTGTGTCACCTTATTGTGCATTACACTTCCAATTTCTGTGAGAGCTTGTATTTTTTATAAGGCTGATTAAGGTTTAATTATTAAAACTTTCATGCCTATTACATGTTATCATTGCATGTATTCTTGTTAACATTTTTTCTTTAAACAGGTAATGTATAGTACAGTAAATTATGTATGCTGATGTCTTTTAAAAACATGATTATTAATGCAGATTAGCTACAGTCTTTGATGAGGAAAATAACACAATGCTAATCAATACAGCATGTACTGCAGAGACTGTATTTTCATGCATTCTCTGTAATGCCAGACTTATTTCAGAAACTGCCTTATTTTCAAGGCAGTACTGTTTTCTTTTTTATGTTATTTAGACAGTGACTCATCAATAACTTATTTTTTTGCGCATAGAAAACCATATTTTAATTTTCAGTAAGGAATTTGCGAGCCTATTTTGGTAGCTGGCTTATTTTTGAAGGCAGTCTTATTTTTGAAGCCATTCAAATAGTGACCTATCAATGGCTTATTTTCAAATCTTCAACAAGATACGTTTTCTTTAAATGTCTTTTTTCTTCTTTTTATCAAATTGATACAATAAAAAATAATGTAATTTGATGGATACCAGTAAAATTTCTTTTAGCAGAAAAGGTAAATGTGGCTAATAACTGGAACCCAATGCATATTTTCCAAACCAGCCTTTTTAAAAATATAAAAATGGCTTATTTTCATGATTATTTTGATTGTTAAGATTTTAAGGCTTACTTTCATGTCCGGCTTATTTTCAAATCAGGCTTTTTATCAAGATTTTTGAATGTATTGATATTTCAATTACAGCTCTCAAACAGCCGGTACCTGAGAAAGAGATCTTCCCAAAGTACATTCTGGACTTTGAGGCAAAAATGAAGAGTTACCACAAAATGCAACTGAATCAACAACTGGTGAATACTTTACACTATCTGCATTTCATTGATATATATCAAAGTCAATACTTGCCAACTCTCCCTATTTTGGAGGGAGACTTCCTATTTTTTACCCCAAAATTGAGCATTTTTAACCAGTTCATTTGCTAAACTATTTCTATATTCTGAGATCTGATGATTTAATCTGAAAGAACAACTCAAAAGATGCCATTCACAAGTGTGTATATATATATAATTTCCCCTCTGGTGTACATATACATACTTTTAATTTATACTCTTAATTCTGAGCACGTGCAATCTCCCCCATTGAAATTTTTAAAAAAGTTGGCAAGTATGAAAATCGGCCATGTAAACACCCTGTTTAGGACCATGAATGATAAATTAAATATGTTGAGTATGATCCCATGATTACATATCTATGTTTTATGATTCTGGCATTTTATGGGGTAGGGCGGGGTCCGACGGAGGGACAAAGAGGTTAAATATCATGTTAGTCCCATTTTCTACCATCACATTGTGATATATAGTCCCATGTCCATCCTGTTGTATTTTCTGCCGTCACATTGTGATTAGGTAATTGTCATGACTCAACTTACTTCATTTCTTACCTCTACCAAATTCTCAGGTCCCAGTGACAATTACATGTTTAAATGGAATTTTCATTGGAAATTATTTGTTGTTTACGCAGGGTGGTGGTCTGAAGGGAAGGCTTGGCGTCGGTGGAGCAGGTCGTACGAGTCTACAGAACATCGGCCTACAGCTGGGACAACACGCCCTAAAGTCGCCGCCTAAGGCCCTCAACAAGTCCCTGAAGGTCGGCATGAGGAAACCAGGATCGCGTAGAACGTCAGTTTCAATCTCAGAAATGTCCTAGTGGCCTCAAATGTTTGTCTGTGACATTTACTGATTTGTCAGCGGGACAGTAATATTGTCAGATTTTCTGTCAAAAGTATGTAGAACGATGAGTGAAGTGACATTTAAGTCTGTGGAAATGTTCAAGGATGATGGGCGAATCGTGACGTGCCTCTTCTTCACAAATTACTAGCAAGACCGCTGAAATGATGAGTTCCATTCGCCAATGAAAGATAAAAAAAAATGTTGGCGGAAAGTGTTTGAATTTTCCTCTCAAATGTGAGCTGGCACAAGGATCAGGGTTAAAGTCACTTTCAAATTGTCTGTCAAAGGTGCAAGAAAGACAGCTGTAAGGAAATTCAGATCTGGTGTCCATAGCCTGCAGATTGTTAAAGGTGCAGAAAAAATGGCTAAAATGACATTCAAATTTGGCTTCCAAACAATAGATACAAGGTTTATGACTTCAAAATCATCCTTAGCACTGTTACCCGATTTCATAAAAGTCACAAGATTTATGAAAAGATAACTCAAAAACTCATAACAGTACTTTTCAATGTGTGAGATAACTTTGACATGTATAATGTGTGTGAGATTTAGTCATTCTTTATTCTAGATATATACTTGTCCATCGATATTTTATTTGTAAACGATACGTTTGAAGGAATTCCAGGATTTCGTGCAAAACATTCATTGCTTGTTTGTTTACACATAGAATATATTTTTCTGCACTTCTAGCAACCAAATGAAATTTCAGATTTCCTCTCACCATTAGGGAGTAAGGCATCTATTATTCTTGGTGTAATGAGAATGATTATGAAATTAACTTTGTTTTTCAATTGATCTGCAAGTAAATGAAAACAAAACCCAAAAAATAGTTTATTTAGAAAATATTTTAAAAATGTAAATTGTCCTGATACCAGAAATCTAACAAGGATTTGGGCAACAACATGAAACTATTTCAATTTTTCTGACATACTCATTGGTTGAATCACAATCACATGGAGGTCGGTAATTTGTGAAATTGACTTGGTGTTACTATTTTTAGAAACATCAATTTTATATTCTTAATGATTTCACTTCTACTGTAACGTCACAGTGCTCTCTGCCAAATGCAGAACTTTTTTCCTGAGGAATGGTTTAGGCTCTGTCTTGTTTATAGAGAGATTAAAGATAATTTGTATCTAATGAAACAATTAAGGACTTTTAATTTTGTGAATATGTGGATATAGGAACCTTCAAAGTGATACTGGTCTCGACTTTGCCTTGGTCAACATTCCTTTTGCGGGGTCATACATTCACCTCAACAAAAGTATGCAATTGATTATTATTCTGTAAAGTCAGTAGCCTTTTGTGGAAAACAAAAGATTTTTTTTAATACAATTTTTACATTGTCCGTCCAGCATTGATCTCCGGTATTTTTAGCAATCTGTGATACCCTTTTTTATTATTTATGTAACTAGAGGTCCGCATATCATTGATATACAGGGTCCTAGACGTCCACATATCATTGATATACAGGGTCCTCATCAAGTCATTGTACACATATTAGTTTTCATGTTTGTCCTGCACTTCATTTGTGAACTTTGTAAAATTTCAGATCAACCGTAAACCCCCTCATCTCTATTTTTATCAAAATCATCCCCACAAAATATTTGTTGCCTGATGTCCCCCTTTAGTGGCTACAAGAAGAAAGTTTTAAGGGTAATTTGACTAAAATGTTTTTGTATATCTTTATATATAATACATGTGAAAAATGGAGGCAAAAATTTAATAGGCTCAAAAAGTGATTTCAATGTTATTCAATTTTTTTATTACTTACTGTCAAACCTGCTTAAAGAACCTCCTGTATGAAGGAACACTTTTGAAACTCCACTTCTCTGTTATTTCATGTTAACAGAACCTGAATTATGATACTTACTGCATGTACGAGCTAAGATGAGATAATTTACCAAAGGATTATATAATTTGTTCTTTTCAATTTAACTGGCCCTTATACCGGTACTGTAAGAAAATCAAGTAATTTAATGATTTTTTTTCAGTCTGTCCAACCAAATATTTACTAATTCACCCCTGAAGACACATTTGAACTCTTCTAATTCAAAGGTTGTAACAGTACATTATGACATTTCAGGGGTGAAGAGTTAAAATGAAATAAAATAATTATTGAGTGATACAGGCCTTATGTGCACCTTGATTTTATAATTCTGTGATAAAGAGAATCTGTATGCGATAATATCTTGTGAGTAACTTTACCATGTTTCGCCATAATTTATGTATAGTATGATGTAATAGCTACTATTAAGCAATGAATATTTTTCGTATTAATTGTTGTAAGTTTTATGAATCCTCTGTAATAATTATTTATTATAAATATGTGTGATAAAGTTCATTGTATGAATATTTTTGTAAAAATAATATTTAAACGCACCATACTGCTGATATTACAAATGTTGTGAATAAAGAAAATGACACCCTTTCATTTATTTTTCCTTTTGTATTCAAATTTTAATATCAGTTGGTCCGAAACAAAAATGTGGACAGACAATGGTCACAGTGATAACTACAGGTCACCCGCATCTCTGATGCGGGGCCTTTATAGTCAGAGCGTTACAGGCCCTTTTGGACCCTAGCTTGTGTTACTAAATATATATATCTACTGTTTCAATGAAAAAACCCAAATTGAATCTTCGTTAGGCCAAAAAAAAATATGTGTGTTTCAGGTATCCTGACCTACCCTAGATTTTCCAGCCGACCCTAGATATGTTATCACCTACTTGTATCTAAGATTAATTTCTTAGCCAGGCAAAGTTCCTAGGCACTCAGGAAAATGTACTTTCTTCCTATTCTGGGAGTCTGACCTTATTCTTGACAAATTAATAGCCATTGTAATGTGTGGAAAAGCATTTTAAAATTTGAAATAAAGCATAATTAACATAATTAAGAAAAATAAAAAGTTTGGAGCTGGTGTAATGTGTGGAAATGCATTGTAAATCTTGATATAAGCATAATAGTTATCGATGAAAATAGAAAATTAAAATAAATTACCAACCCTATTTTAATCAGGCATGTTACCTGAAACACAAATATTTTTTTTTATTTTGTTGGCCTTATTATGAAATCAACAAAAATACAAAACAATGCGCTTTCAGTCTAAAATTTATTGACCTTTTTTTTCAACAAAATAAGTTCATTTTTTGTCCATAGCAGTATTTTAATTTCCAATAGGACTAGAAAACAAGAGGCCCATGGGCCTAAACGGTCACCTGAGTCTACAGTATTTATTTTTGTTGTTGAAATATGTACCAATTTGAGTAAAAAATAGTATAATGTTAACTTAACTTTGTCAGGACCATGAGCTGATCATTCCTAGACCAATTTTAAGTGAGATCGGCCTATTAGAACTTAGTAGCAAAATAGCGGCNGGTGAAAGTATTTACATACCGTAATTGTATATCTAGAAAATAAGGGGAGGAAACTCTAATAGATGCTAATTGAAAAACAGTTGATGCACCAAATTAGAAACTAATATCGAAAGATTTGAAATCCTGAGCAAAAAAATATTTGTGTAATACTTGAGATAAATCAACAAATACTATCTTGTAAATATTGATATATATATAAAGTAAGTTTGATCATTTTCGACCCAACAAAGAAATAATAATAAATATGAGTAATTTAAGACAACTGTAAAAACAACATTAAACATCTGAACACATGTACGTTTTTATCACAGAATTTGGATTTTAAAACAATCATAGAATACTATCGGTGTACATTATAAAAACAGCATCTGAATATTATCAATACATGTATACGTATATGTATATAAGTTTCACATTTTTATCACAGAGTAAATTTAAAAAAAAAAAAAAAAAAAAAAAAAAAAAAGATGATTACTAATTATAATTACTGATAAATACAGGTATATTGCATACATATTTATATAACAAATAGAAACTAACAGTAGTATATCATAATTTTTTGCTGAAAAAATGAGTTTGATTGGCACTTCTTGTTAAAACTGATCCAGTTAAGTTTAAATATAAAATTGATAGCACCTTAATAAATTGGGCATTTCACTGGATTGTCTCCCTTTACAGAATCTAAACAACACTTATAAAACAGCTGTAAGATTAAGGCTTTCAGAACAGCTAAAAAATGCTGTTTCAAATTTGGAATATTGCTGTTGTTTTTTTGGAAATTTATTACCAATATAAATATTTATGGTAAGGGAAGAAAATCCTTTTGCCTCACCTATTCTTACATGTTGTAGTTAAATATATATACATTGTATATATATAAAGCTTAAAAACTGTATACAATAGATAAAAGATTGCTTAAATTTTTCAGATCAGGTGGAATAACTATCTACATGCCTGGTAAATCAAAACTTATACATTAACAATACATTTGAAGCAATACATTTACTGTAAAACAAATGACGGAGGGAAAATGTTGAATTGTTTGAACAAAATTTCTTTATGTTTTCCATTATTTATTTTTTTGGCTCAAAATAAACAAATTAATCTTCATGATTTGGTTTTTAAAAAAACGTTTGTTTTTTCTTTATCTTTATGATGCATTACACTTAATTTACATATTAGTTCATGATTAAATCCACTTTTATCAAGACAGGTGTATTCCAAGATGCTGGTATCCTTCCCACAAAAATATATCACAGTCATGAGTTAACTCCCTTTGCTGCTGCAGTTTGTGTTGCATTGCAGCTTTTCATTAGTCATCAAATAACAAAAACATCTGCTCAATGGCAGACTCCAGAATGTGGTAGGCCTGAAAGATAGAGAAAACACATTTGTTTTACCTTTAAGTCTCTTTCTTTCTCTTAATTTTGATAGTTTTGACAGTTTTTCTTTTGAGTCTATGATCAACAAAAGATTTAAAAAGATTCCAGCAAGGCTTTCCTATGGGAAAACTAAAATTCATGAATTTCATTATATAAGTTTGTGAAACTGGCCAGGAACTTAATTTGTTGATTCCTTGTGGAATTGTATCGGGTGTTTGGAACTGCTATCATTACATTCACTCCTGAATATGTGTTAACTCATTCACCCCTGAAGACACATTTGAACTCTTCCAATTCAAAGATTGGAATAGTTTATTATGAAATTTCAGGGGTGAATGAGTTAATGATATGTCGGAGCAGCACCGAGCACATTTGAAGTAAAATGTTCAATACAATGAACGTGTATAAACGTTTTTATGGACAAAAGAAACTTTGGACAATTTTTTCAATTTTTTATTTATCGAGGATAAAATTATTTACCTGGAGGTGGACACGCTCCCTGTAAGTGTCCATTTTAGTTTTGGACACTTTTGATGTAAGGACTGGTATGAAACTGTCCGGTGCTTTCTCACCAGGATCTGGGTTGGATTCTGGGCTGCAGGTCTTGGGCCGCCCTTTACTGGAGGCAGAGGACTTTATTCTCTCATCTTTAGATTGTCCCCCCGGCATCAAACTCGGGGATACTGCCTTCTCGTTCTAAAAATGTTTCATTAAATTGACTTTTACTTCAATAAAAATGAATAACTGTCATTTCTAAACATTTTAAACGAGTTGTTCACAAATGGATGTTGACTCCGCTACACTGTAAGCTTATGTACAAAACGTAGCTGACTAGTTGAATCGAGTCATTTCGGTACATATATAACATCTTAGTGTACATACGCTTACAGCGTAGCGGAAACGACATCAATTTGTGGACGACTCGTACACATTTTACACCTTTGTGTGCATACGCTTCACTGGGCATTTGTCTGATGAAGGTGACAGTGTACATATCGTACTATTCATCGAAACTCTCATAGACACACTTAGTGGTTGTGTTACAAGAATCTTTTCATAAATAATAACTGTCATATTATTACAAAATGGCCTAAAATTACAAAACTTTTGAACTTTAAGAATATTCTCAATTATCAGATTTATTCATATACTATTTTACCTAAAAAGGTCATTAAAATAATAAAATTTCTATATAATCATCTTGGCTTTACTCATTCACCCCTAAAGACACATTTGAACTCTTCCAATTCATAGATTAAATGGAAAAATTCATTATGAAACTTCAGGGTCGAATGAGTTAAAACAATGTGACATTACGTAAATTCTTGATTCTTTACGGCTTGTAGAAATATAAAATCTATTTCCTTTTTTGTTTTATATTTTTTTACACATTTCACACCCTGAGCATGGCATTAACGAAATGTTAATAACTTTTGGTTTGTATGAAAAATAAGAAATTGCCAGTTTTCTTCTGCTGATAAGATAAATTGAGCCGTTTTCCTCAAATAACAACTTTTTTTCTTTCCCTGGTCTTTTTGGTGGATGGATCGAAAATCAAACGTGGCCACATGGACCTTTTATTTAATTGTGTTCATTCCAGTAGCTAATTCAGTGTACAAAACACTTACATCTTTTTTCTTGGGTTTAGTGGCAATACTTTTCTTTGGGGGTGCTTTTTTGGCTGTCAACAGAAGAGAATGAATTAAGAAATTTAAATTTGTATAATTTGATAATTTTTTTTTTTGAAACGCTGGTATTTTTAGGTCACCTGAGCTTTAGCTTTAGAGGTTTGATGCCACCCCAAGGGGCATCAAAACTCATTCCCCACCCCCAGGGGCATCAATCTCACCCCAACCCCAAGGGGCATCAAAACTCATTCCCCACCCCCAGGGGCATCAACCTCACCCCAACCCCCAGGGGCATCAAAACTCATTCCCCACCCCAGGGGCATCAACCTCACCCCAACCCCCAGGGGCATCAAAACTCATCCCCCACCCCCAGCAGCATCAAACCTCACCCCCACACCAAGGGGCATCAAAACTCAACCCCCACCCCCAGCAGCATCAAACCTCACCCCCACCTCAAGGGGCATCAAAACTCATTCCCCAACCCAGGGACATCAACCTCACCCCCGGGGCATCAAAACTAATCCCCAACCCCCAGGGACATCAACCTTACCCAAACCCCCAGGAGCATCAAACCTCACCCCCACCCCAACAGGCATCAAAACTCATCCCCAACCCCCAGGGGCATCAAACCTAACGGATTAAATATTTCTAAACATTTTCTTCAGGTTGGTTAGTATGGATTGTGAACATTTTCTTGCTTCACAACCAATAAGTGTTTATAGGTGACATTACTGTATGTGCTGTCACTTCATTAGACAAATGACCACTGAAGTGTATGCACACAAAGGTGTAAAGAGTGTACGAGTTGTCCACAAATCAATGTCTTTGACTCGATTCAGCTATGACCAAGTCTTAAACAAAGCGTAGCTGTATCGAGTCAATTCGGTACATATGTAGCGGAACTGGACTGGGTTGATCGTCGGCGACCAGGTAGATCAATTGGTAGAGCATCCGTCTGGAGTTTGAAAGGTCCCGGGTTTGAACCCCGGTCTGGCAGTGCATTTTTCCTCTCCTGTTACACATATATAAGAACTAGTGTACATACGCTTACAGCGTAGCCTAATTGACATTGAATTGTGGACAACTCATACACATTTTACACCATTGAGTGCCTACGCTTCACTGGCTATTTGTCTGATGAAGGTGACAGTGTACATATCGTACTAGTCATCGAAATGTCACATAGAAACACTTACTGGTTGTGAAACAAGAACATTTTCATAATCTTACAGATTAAAGCTTCTGCGTGACACATGACACATACCTGCCTTGTCCAGCGCCCCCTCCTCCACTCGTAGAGGCAGTCCCAGCCTTTTGGCCGTTCTGAATGTCATGTCCACAAACTTATCTACCGCACCCTGGAGGGACACCAATCTGTTGGTAAACAAATGTTATTAGAAACAGCACTGATTCTTCTATAGGCAACGTAGGGTAAATACAGATTTTTTCAAACTCAATTTTTTTCTTCTTTTGGAAAAAAAAAGTTTTTTTAACTTACAGCATAAAATCTGGGTACATTCCATGTTTAATTAACTCATTCACTCCTGATTAATTTACACATATTATAATTTCATGATCTAGATATATGTGAAGGAACTAAATTTTCGCTATGTTTTAGCACAGAGACAGGAAACTCGGCATTTGAAGTGTCAAACGGTCAAACAAATAGGCTTTATTATAGCACATTGAGCAACAACAAGTCAGTGTATTATGTTAAACAAATCATCAGCTAAACTGTTAGATGTGTGACACAATCTATTTTAACTCATTCTCCCTTGAAAGACACATTTGAACTCTTCCAATTCAAAGGTTGGAATAGTTCATTATGAAATTTCAGGGGTGAATGAGTTTAAATATCTTGTTTTACTCTTGATGTATATCAATCGTTTCAACCACATATACTCGCCATTTCCCGACAATGTTACGATGTTTAATTATTATCGCGGCTCACATTTATGCTTGTGATATCATTGTGCGGATCATATATTTATGCGATCACGTTTTTGACCCCCAACATGGGGATATATCATCCCCTCGGAGATAAATCATCCCATCGTAGATATATCATCCCCTCGGAGATAAATCATCCCATCGGAGATATATCATCCCCTCGGAGATAAATCATCCCATCGGAGATATATCATCCCCTCGGAGATATCCTGCTATATATATACTATCTCTTTTCAAAGACGACAATGACTTCTAAGAAATTCGGACACATATGACGCTTGTCATATCATTCTGCAGATAATATTTTCGCGATCACATTATTGACCCACAAAATTGTGGAAATAAATTGCTAAACAGTACTATATCTTTTCAAAGACGACCACGTCTTCTAATAAATTTACACTCACCCGATTTTGTATCGTTCCCAGCGTTGGTTGTACACTGGTGTCGGCCACGAGATCAGGAGTGAGGAACACAGGTGGTGGAACGTGGCGAGACACGAGTATTTATGACGGGCTTCCTCCAAACACTTATCTCCATCCTTCTCATTAGTCGGGTCAAGGTTCATCAGCTTGCCCAGGGCCTGGTAAATTAAACACCGTCTAATTAATTAAAATATACAGAAATGATTTCGGATTAATTCTGTGATATATTACAACCTAAATTTTACAAAAGTCTGTCCATACATGAATTGGGAAAATAGTTTTTATTGAATTGTGAAGATTTCCCTGATTATTAAGCACATTAAGCTCAAAAATATTACCATATTTCACAGGTGATAAGCCCAGGGGCCTGTGCATGAAAACATGTCAAAATCAGGGGATGGGCTCATTACCGGGCATGGGCTTATTACCAGTGAAATAAGGTAAGAGCCAATTTTAGTTTTAACATCTCCGTGTCTTCGTTGATCTCTTGGGCCACTGACACTTTGTATATTCACATCATCAGGAGTTAAAATTTCTACACCTGACCTATCTGGAGTTTTATTTATGGTAGGAAATCTTGTGTACAGGCCCTTATATGAAATTTAACTAGAAATCAAAATGTATTGACGACAACTTGTATGATTATGATAAGGTTATATATCATCCTTCATTTTCAAAGAAATCAGATGGAAACATAAGAGTAGAGTTGCTCAATCAATTGTAACAAGAAAGAGAGGAGGGTGCTTCCACCAGCGATGGAACACGCAACCCCCAGGTCTCCAGTCCGCCAATCTACCGGCGATTCCCTCTAGTGCAAAGCTAGAAGGCGACTGTAATCCTATGTTCAATTAAAACCTGCTCCCCTTTTCACTTAAAATGTGTTCGCCCTCGAACACTACAACAACCCAGGTTCTAAGTTCCTGGCACCAAAGAGAGGGCCACAAACACAATTTGTAACAGGAAATAGAATAGAGTTTTCCACTGGGGATCAAACCTGCAAACCCCACCTTCCCAGTCCATCACCCTATTCCGTCTTTGCGTATTGCAGAGTTATCTTCTCTTGGGAGCAGGTATTGATTGTTACGTCATTGGTTTGTGTGAGAAAATTACGTCGTTTTCTCAAAAATTGATGACTTTACTCTCACAAACAAGTGACGTAACAATCAATACCTGCTCCGAAGAGAAGATAACTCTGCAATACACAAAGACGGAATATAGAATGAAATAAAAAGGGAGATTCCATCTAGTGCGAAGCCAGGCAGCGACTAACGATATGTACAATTATAATCTGCCAGAAAAGTTTACACATGGACTGTTCAAGTATATCCCCTTAAGTATTTGTAGTTTATGTAAATATTCTTATTGATTGTGTCCTTACTTACCTGTTTTACTGCCAAGCAGGTACATTCCTGATGTTGGAACTCTCCTGGTATGGAGGTGAGGATAGTGTTATACAGCGCCTCCATTTCCTTAGCTTTACCAGAATGATAGATCATCTAGAATTAAATAATGTAAACCAATTTTAGTTAACTCATTCACCCCTGAAGACGCATTTGAACTCTTCCAATTCAAAGGTTGGAATAGTTCATTATGAAACTTCAGGGGTGAATGAGTTAATGGCACATTGATATAATTTATATGTTTTGTTTTGTTTTCCTGTTTGAAAATTTGGTAGATTCACTTACATACCAGCATATAGTACATGGCTGCATTTAAATATGTGTAAAATGAATCCCATTTACCCAAAGAACCATCATGACCGCAATATTTTTACCTGGCATTTAGCGTTGGATTAAATCCCTGTGAACTATAGCTCTGAATGGAACAACTGCGAAACAGTAGCCCCATGAAATTAAACAACCATACAGTGGTTTATTTTGTATATTATTTGAATTCACACAAGATAAATTGTCACTAAGGGATGACGTAACAAAAGAAAAAATTGTGATATCAAGTTTCCAACCTGAGTTTATCCTAATGTTTTCAAGCAGAAGCACTGGTTGGTCACACAGAGTCATAAGTATAATATAGCCTTTAGCAGAAATTACCCCTGGGAATCGCTGCTGAAAATTATCCTCCTCGGAAATGTATGCTAGTTTTGGAGAGAGAGGAGACATGGGCGTCTTCACACCACGGAAAATGTCCTCAATTATCTTTGTGGCGATGGTAAGTGCATTCCTGTGGTTTAGACATTTCTGAAACAGTAAATCATACACAACATAAGAGAAGTTATTGGGTAATAGCAATAGACCAGACTATTATATGACTGGTGCCTCGGTCAATATTGTACTGATGACCCTGAGGTTCGTAAATCAGGGATAGACCTCACCTCAAGTCCATAATTGTATAATATTTTCCATTAGGAACTCGGGAACCAACAAAATGGAGAGTTTAAATGTTTTAATAAACACTGTATGGTTACATTATGGAAAACACCATTTGGAGTTTCCTTAACGTGGTATATTGTGTATTTATCAGCAGAAGTTCTGTATCAACTGATGAAATTTATAGACAGGTGATGTTTACAGACAGGTAATCACTATAGACAGGTGCTGTTTACAGACAGGTTTTCACTATAGACAGGTGATCTTTATATACATGTTCATGTGGTATTTTGTTGACAGGTGGTCTTACAGGCAGGTAATATATATAGGCAGGTTATTTTGACAGACAAGTGATCTTTGTGGGCGGATTGGTCGAGTGGTTATAACACTCTGGCCTTCCAAGCAAGTCGTCGTACGCATGGAATTTTCAGAGAAAGTATTTAGGGATAGATACAACCCAACAACCCAGGTGGAGTATAAAATGGTCTGGGGTGGATGTTGCGGTATCTATGCTGTGGCATTCAAGTGAGGTGGCACTATAAATGATACCGTTGGAAGTACGGTCCCACTACAAACAGAACACAATACATCTCCAGCACACACGCTGTCATACACACAGGGATATAGTAGCCAGGTGGTAAAGACCTAGTAGTTAGCGCCTGATAAGGCAGCTCCTGCGAATTCCTCAAAATTGTGTTGATTAATGTTTATGCTAATTGTATTCATTGTATTAAATTGTATATCCATGTACTGTAAAGCGCTTTAGAGTGGCTTATATTAGCTAGATAGGGCACTATATCAAATGATGTATATTTATTCTATATACAGGTGGCTTTTATAGTCAGGTGGTCTTATAGACATGTTAACTTGACAAACAGGCTACCTTTATATACGTTTAGCCTTTATAGACAGTTGAACTTTAATAGCAACTGATATTTATAAACAGTTACTCTTTAAAGACAGTGTCCTATATAAACAGCAGATCTTTAAAGACAGGTTATCTTACAGATAGGTGATATTAAGAGAAAAGTGGTCTTTTATTCTTTTTTTTTTTTCATGATACTTTCTCTGTTTACTAGTACACAACAACAAAACAACACATGGCACAATCTAAAGACATCTGTATCCATATGTAATAGTATATTTGAAGCTGTTCAATTGAAATGAATAGGAGAGACAGCACTATGTAAGACCTTATAATGATTTTAAAATTAAATGACCAGGATGTGGTGGAAACATCAACAATTATGAGACAATAGAACAATGCCGAGGTGTAGCCATGACAGGTGCCTGCTGCTGAAAAGTGGTCTTTATAGACAGATGGTCTTTATAGACAGATGGTCTTTATAGACAGGTCATCATTAAAAGTAACTAATATTTATAAACAATTGCTCTTTATATATAGACAGTGTCCTTTATAAACAGCAGAACTTTAGAGACAGGTGATCGTACAGACAGGTGATCTTACAGACAGGTGATCTTACAGACAGGTAATATTTACAGACAGATCTTTACAGACAGGTGATCGTACAGACAGGTGATCTTACAGACAGATATTTACAGACAGGTGATCTTACAGACAGGTGATCTTACAGACAGATATTTACAGACAGGTGATCTTACAGACAGGTAATATTTACAGACAGATATTTACAGACAGATCTTTACAGACAGGTGATATTTACAGACAGATCTTTACAGACAGGTGATCTTACAGACAGGTAATATTTACAGACAGATATTTACAGACAGGTGATCTTACAGACAGATATTTACAGACAGGTGATCTTACAGACAGGTGATCTTACAGACAGATATTTACAGACAGGTGATCTTACAGACAGGTGATATTTACAGACAGATCTTAGACAGGTGATCTTACAGACAGATCTTACAGACAGGTGATCTTACAGACAGATATTTACAGACAGGTGATTTTACAGACAGGTGCTCTTACAGACAGGTGATCTTGCAGACAGATCTTACAGACAGGGGATATTTACAGACAGATCTTACAGACAGGTGATCTTACAGACAGGTGATATTTACAGACAGATCTTTACAGACAGGTGATCTTACAGACAGGTGATATTTACAGACAGATCTTTACAGACAGGTGATCTTACAGACAGGTGATATTTACAGACAGATCTTTACAGACAGGTGATCTTACAGACAGGTGATATTTACAGACAGATCTTTACAGACAGGTGATCTTACAGACAGGTGATATTTACAGACAGATCTTTACAGACAGGTGATCTTACAGACAGGTGATATTTACAGACAGATCTTTACAGACAGGTGATATTTACAGACAGATCTTTACAGACAGATGATCTTACAGACAGGTGATATTTACAGGTGATCTTACAGACAGGTGATATTTACAGACAGATCTTTACAGACAGGTGATATTACAGACAGGTGATATTTACAGACAGATATTTACAGACAGGTGATATTTACAGACAGGTGATATTTACAGACAGATCTTTACAGACAGATCTTTACAGACAGGTGATATTTACAGACAGATCTTTACACACAGGTGATCTTACAGACAGGTGATATTTACTGACAGATCTTTACAGACAGGTGATCTTTCAGACAGGTGATATTTACAGACAGATCTTAGACAGGTGATCTTACAGACAGATATTTACAGACAGGTGATCTTACAGACAGGGGATATTTACAGACAGATCTTTACAGACAGGTGATCTTTCAGACAGGTGATATTTACAGACAGATCTTTACAGACAGGTGATCTTACAGACAGGTGATATTTACAGACAGATCTTTACAGACAGGTGATATTTACAGACAGGTCTTTATTGACAGGCAAGTTTTATAGACATTTTTTTTGGTACTGTATAGACAAGTGTTTCCATGAAAAACCAGAAAACGTCCATTACCTCCACTTTGTCGATTTCCTGGTCAGGTCTGGTGACAGTGATGACACTTTTCAGGTTCAACACAATATCAGCACCACCACACAATAGAGGGCGGGTCATCAGTTTCCAGGATTCGGAGAAAATTCCACTGATACTTCCTTTAAAGAGGATGGGAAGTTTCAGAATCTCCCCGGGAGCCATCACACCTAAAATACAAAATGTATTACCAGGTAGTTTAAGGTTAGATTCTACAGATTAATTTGAGATTTTTTGTATTTATGATTTAAACTTTCTATAAGGAGGCACAGTTGTCTAGTGGTAGGATGCTGCATGGGCTCGTGATCGAAGGGTTGCAGGTTTGAGTCACGGCACTGCACTGTGTTGTATCTGTTCCAGTCTACTCAGCTGTAAATGAGTACGTGGTTGGGCAGTGCTAGAATTGTAGAATGCTAGCTGTGAGTGCCGAAATGGCATCACAGGCTGTACATGTATGCTCTCCAGGGAATTGAGAAAGATATTGGCTGCATGGTTGCAAAGGCCCTATATTACCACGGATAATAATTTGTGAACCGCTTTGAGAGGACCTTCGAACTAGATTGTGATAAAGTGGTATATAAGGGCGGATTGGTCGAGTGGTTAACACTCCAGCCTTCCAAGCAGGCGGCCAGGGTTCGATCCCCGAAGTCGACGTACGCATGGAATATTAGAGACTCCAACAACCCAGGTGGAGAATAAAATGGTCTGGGGTGGGTGTTGCGGTATTTGTGCTGTAGCATTCAAGTGAGGTGGCACTATAAATGATACCGTTGGAAGCACGGTCCCACTACAAACAGAACACAATACGTCTCCAGCACACACACAGGCATACACACATAGGAAGATATTAGCCAGGTGGCAAAGGACTAGTAGTTAGCGCCTGACAAGGCAGCTCCTGCGAATTCCTCAAAATTGTATTGATTAATATATATATGCTTATTGTATTGACTGTATAAAACTGTATATCTATGTACTGTAAAGCGCTTTAGAGCGGCTTATGTTAGCTAGATAGGGCACTATATCAAATGTTGAACATTTAATTATGTATAAGAACATCAAATTATTATTTTGACAAATACACACAAAGGATTGGAGCTACTTTTTTTTTTTTTTTAAATAAATCTGTTTATACCATTACTGTTATACACATTCAATCACTATCACATTCTCAAGGGTTATTTGTTTGATAACTTACGTCGAGTTAACCCTTTCAACACTGTGGACCATAATGGACTCATCCAGATCAATGCATGGTAGAGTCTACTAAAGTTACATAGGGATGAAAGGGTTAAGGATCCCTGTCCCACTGATCTGTGGTTTTTCATAAATACAGTAACCTCCCCTTAATTCCGCTTTGTAGCACAGCTTGTTTGAGACACTCCGTTGACCAAGTACTCTGTCGGTCAGAATGACAGTATAACAATTTTAAGTCCAGGGTTCAAAGCCTTGTTTGTAAAGCCATTCATTTTTTTCACCAAGAACATTATTGTTGATTAATTTTTTGCTTATTTCATCTCCAGTAAGTATGTTTTCATAAAAGTCAAGCAGACACGCTTTTCCTAAATCAAAATCTTTTTATCAAAGTTATGGTCATTCCGAAAAGAAATAAGTTTCAAATGCATAGTTTTATATTATGGCAGTGGTGCAGAGATCCTTAAAAGAGCAAAAAAAAAACACTAAAATAAAGAGTATCACTAAAATAATTACATCTATAGTATATATATATATTATATTCAAAAGTAAATAACTGTCTTACCTCCTTCAGTGAGGAAGTAGAACTTAGTGTTCTGGAAAGATGGCAGATTCTCCAGGCCTTTCTTCTTCTCATTTTTCTGTAACAAAAGGTGAAGTGGTATTCAATATACAATATTTACATTTGCTCTGCATCCTTCCATTGCAATGCATTGAGAAGGCAAATGTTGTTATGAGACTATAACAACATTTGCTAATTTTAACGTCATCAATCTCAATTGTGACCTCATCAATTTCACAAATACTCATTTTTGTCAACACTTAATAAAACTTAGTATAAGTCAATCGCAGCAAGCTCAGGATGAGTTGGGTTTTATTTATTTAGTTGTGTCGACCGGTTTCACTTGAACATATGAGAATTATGAAACAAGTCTAAGAATTTTTCAATTTAGCGAGCCTCTGGTGAGCTAAAACGAAAAACTTGTGACAAGTTTTATAAATTTCATATGAAATGAAAATAATCAAAATATGTGGCATTTATGCGTGTAAACGGCAATTTTCATGCAAACTTGAAATATAAAAACCCGCCATTTTGACTCCAGTGTGTAAGTCTATGACATCATCTTCTTGACCTAGGCATGACGTCACAGTTGAAACAACTGAAACTTACAACTAATCACAGGGCTGAAAGGTCATATTACATGGATTAATACGCAAAAAAAATATGACACGGGTATATATTCACTGGCCAACGCAGTACATTATGTGATAAATCTGTTTATCTGAATATCATAACCTTGTATACAGGTAATTTTCATAGAATGACCTGACTCTTAGTCTTGCACTAGGCTCTATAGTGTCAGTCAGAAATATTTCACTTCACTCACCGTCCATTCGTAGTGTATCACAGTGCTGCCCACATTGTAAATCTCCAGATAACTGAGGATGTTTTTGCCGATTTCGCCCTCGAATAACACGGAAGCAATCCCTGCTGTCTGTTCTTGCTGGTCTCGGTGAGACCCCGCCCACTTAAACACTTGGCTGCCAATCATTACAGCAGGCCCCTCCCACTTGTTGAGGATTGGTTGTTGGACGGCTGGAGAAAGTGTCACACTGAAGAAAAAAACAAGTTCATTTCTTAGAAATATTGAAAGAACTTTTAAAATATGGGCCCTTTTCACTGAAGTACTGTTACGTACCTTAAGGGGCCCTACAGGTTTTATTCAGACTTATTGTTTTTACTTAATTTCATTTTCATTGAGTAATGGCATATAAACAATTAAATCAATGAAAAATGTAAAACATCTTCTTTTTTTTAATGTAAGATTTGAACAACAGATATAGCCAATCACATTTTTGTTGGGTACCTTTTCTTGAAATTTTCTTCCTGTAGCGTTTTGGAGACTGTTTCAATGAGAGTTACTTCCCCTGAGACATTTGGTCCATCCCCACCAGAGAGTGCTGTTGATATTTTCTCTTGGTTCTTACCAGTAATGCTTAACTCCTCCATCAACTGTGTAATTAAACACAGAGCATTTTAGACTTTATTGTCAGATTCTTTATGCACCGAAGGTGTAGACAGGCAGATTGTAAAAAAAAAATATATATCAATCGAAAAAATTATAGATCAATCAGTCCCTCTTGGATCTGTACTGTACAATGTAGTTGAGGATTTAGAGATCTTTTGAAAACGATTTTCTCAGCATATTTGGGCAAAATTTAAAATTTGTTGTCAATACAAATACTTCGTCTTTGCGTATTGCAGAGTTATCTTCTCTTGTGAGCAGGTATTGATTGTTACGTCATTGGTTTGTGAGAGTAACGTCATCAATTTTTGAGAAAACAACGTAATTTTCTCACACAAACCAATGACGCAACAATCAATACCTGCTCACAAAAGAAGATAACTCTGCAAGTACTATAACAATCTGAAGTCCTGGGCCTGTTTTCATGAAACCGTTCTCCGTGCTCAAGCATAGTTTTTGTGCTCAAGCCTAATTTCTTGTTCCGTTAATAAATTAAGTGTGAAATTTTATTTTGTCAATAATTTGGGAAAAAAGGTGAAGAGATTTAAAGCCAAATACTGTTTTTAATGTTTACATTTGCCTTTTTGATCATTTGACATGATTTCAGTGAGTAACGAGAAAGTTGTTTTGAGCACAAAATCCTTGCTTGAGCATGAGAACAGTTTCATGAATACAGGCCCAGGGTTCGAATCCCGGTCTAGCCCCGCTGATTTTCTTTTTACACTCACTGTTGATGATTATATTTTGTTTATTTCATCTTCAGTATCGCATTAGGTGAGGTTTTCTTTTCAGAAACGAGAAAAAAAAATGTGTGAAAAAAAATCAGGGGAAAAAAACTAGCTTCAAATACTTAGTTTTTTTGGATCCTTTAGAAAGGAAAAAAAGTTGAAGGTCAATTTCAAGGTTTTGATTTTCTCTACGAAACTTATCAACTAATGGCATTGAAATAATAATGATCTCTGTTTCTTAGACATTATAGATCTGTAAAACATTTGAATTTCAATTGAATATCCTTACATATAGACCAAAAGATAAACATAGATCTCTTGAGATACTGTACCTAATCTATCCAGCAATAAGCCCATGTCTGGTAATAAGCCCACCCATGTCTAATACAGTTCATTTGAAATGCTAAAAATTGCTATTTCATTATCAAGCAATAAGTGAAACCTTGCAAATACAGTTCAGTGAAAATGTTAAATGCTATTTCATTGTCCGGCAATAAGCCCACCCCTTACTTTGGTGTTTGTCCCTGGGCTTTTTTCAAGATACAGTAATGGTATTTTCCTGCGGTTCGCAGTAAAAGCAGGAAATATATGTCTGTTCGTATTCGCTAGGAGCTGTAATCTGATTGGCTGGGTGTAACGAGGTGCTGTTGCACGTGCAGGTGACGGTATAGGGTGGTGGAGTGTGAAAGCGGGTCATTCTAGCCTGTTGAACCTGACCCAGACGGTTGGGTTTCTTTCGTTAATATTTTTCAGTAAATATTATAAATAGTATAAATATTTTAATACTTGTAGTGTATAGGATGAGTACAGATACACGGATAGTTTGTTTCGAGAACTAGACTGCTTACTGTAGCGATAAATAATTTAATTACATTTTGTGGCTTTTGTCCATAAATCAAAGTTAAACGATTGCAGATATTTTAGAGAATAAGCTATCAGGATTTATATAGTCATAGGCGTCCACGGTTTTCCAGAGTTTTTGGACTCATGTAGTTTTCTCTCTGGTTTTTAGCCCAGGATGCATTTCAACCTACAAGGTGCATTTGCAAGGTTTAGTTGATAGGATTGTGCAAAGCGAAAGATATGCATGCATGGGATTTCAATGTGTATTAATTTGATGTGATCATGATTAAACGCTGCTCCAGTGCTTCTGTGTGACAGGCAATCGCAGGTATGGTGTTGTTGGTTTATTGTAAGGTAGAGCACAGTAAGGTTAATTAAGTGACAGTGTAGAACAGACTTAATATGACTTACGGGATGATGTGGGTTGAGAATGCGTATGACATCAGAGACGGCCGACTCCTGCTCTTCCAGACAGTGGGTGTAATAGGCTGGGTAGCTCCTTATGATCCCACCTTCAAAATCAAAAGCTTAAATACTTTAGATCAAATAATCACGTTAAGTCGTCTCACACAGCCTTGTACATATAGTACCCCTACACTTGCTTATAGCAACCACTGTCTCTGCCCTTAATTTGGGTCCTGGGCCCACTTGTATGAAATATCTCAAAGTTAAGGAAAGTCTCAAGCAATGTATTGTCTATGGGAAATCTTAGACTTGAGGAAATCTCAAGAGTTGAGATGTCTTATACAAGTGCAGATACAATGTAACCTAATAAACTTATACAGTACCTTAAGCTAAAGACACTTCCTCTGTAATAAAAGGAAAGTCAATTTGTTCTGCTTAAGGTTTTATAAATTTATATTTACATTTCTACTGAAATTGGACTCAATATACCTATTAAACGTTTTAAAGGTTAATGTTCAACGAACTTCTTAGTTGGCGCAGGAAGTAGTTCTATTAATAGATTGGATTTTTATTTGTCAGAAGTTTTTAATGGAATTAAAGAAAACTATTTACATCTTAATTTGTGTTTTCGTTGTAATCAATGCAAACAAGTTATCCATCTAACCAGGACAACGTCTCACAATGAGTGATGACATCATAAGGTTCGGCACCTTCTGTGCTGTTAGACTTGCACAAGACCGATATTTTAAAAATTATCCAAAAAATATCAACATCGCACTGAATGTATAAATATAAGGATATTATCCTGTTCTGTTGAGGTTTATGGGGTATAAATCACAATGGGTCTTGAGACAAAATCAATTTGAACTTCTTCGCAGTTTCATATAATTTGTATCAAGACCCAATGATGTTTATATACCCCAAAAACCTTAACACAAAAAAAAAAAATTAACAAAACAGGATTCAATCCTTAAATGAACATAACTAATTAAAATTGATCAATGGTTTTATATAAAGTCGACTGATCATCGGATCAATTCTAATATTGAAATTGATTTCCATTACTAGACCTCAAGTATTAACAGATTTTGGAAAATTCATTTTTCGAGTGTCTAGTGATTGATATCAGTACCTTTTTCCTGCTTGACATTGTTTGGGACATCGACGAATTGCTCAGACGCCATGAACTTTCCCTCTTCTGATTGGTTCAAGGTCGCACTACAATATCAGAAACGTAAAGTTTTCATACCTGACTGACGCCAATGACGTGACTGATTATTATTGTTTATTTTTTTATGTTAGTACGTATATATATCATCAATTTTTTTTTCTATTTTTTTATCAAATACAAAATTTTAACTTTTATACATCCATCCATATCTTTGTCAGCTTTAGCCATATATAATTTAATTGTGCCTAATCCTCCAATGCTAGACTGTTTCAGGTTACAATTCAATGTATAACCTGAAAACCAGACAACACAAAAAGTGATGACGTCATATACCACAATGTTGCAATTTTTGGCGCGGTATCTGTAATTCAAACTTCTGATTGGTTCCAGTAACTTTGAGATGAACTTACTGCAAAATGTTGTGTTTCGTGCAAAAATGTTTGGTCTTGTCAGAATTAAATAAATAATCATTGTCTATGATTATGAACTAAAAATAAAGTGGTGTCTGTCTTTTTAAATTAGATTATAAGAGATAACCATGATATATGATTTCTGCGGTTATACAGTATATACTGAAAATCTGTACAGATTACCTCCCCCTCTACATCTTCTAAGCCGGTATGATTTGTTTAATAAGGGTGTGGATTTATCATATAGCAGATTTATGCAAAGGGCACACATTCTTTTCAGTATACACTGTATAACCCCAAAACTAATCATGGTGATTCCTTAAATAATGCTAATTTGATGACACAAGAAAGTGATAAGATTATTTTTGTTTACTGGTTGTTCAGGCTTACTTAACATCAGGCCCATATGACCTGTATTGCTTGTCTGAAAACTTGAATAGGAGCTTAAACAAAAAGGTGGGTTCAGGTAATTTATATGATAGACCATATTCCCACCAACCTTAACAGCCGAATACCATTACCAGTGGGATTTCTTTTTATGTTAATTTGGGATGGGACCTTCTTGTCTCATTTTTGGAAGAAAATATACAAACTTGGAAGGGAATTTTCAGAAATAAACTGCAAATTTTGGGAATTACAACAGGTAGGCATAAATATAAAATAGCTCCAACTGGGAATGGTGCCCATTATTGGAAAATAATCACTCGTTATTCTATACCCCATGGTTGATTAGAAGAAGTTGTGTGTAAAATTTGAACACAATTTAACTCATATGACTTTGAAAGAGAATAATTTATTGATTTAAAAAAGCTACTGGCTACTTTTGTATCCAACAACGATTGCAAAAAATAAAAAAGTTGTCCAGAAATTGACCATGATTTTATTTATATACATCAGATTCTGGTCTAAATGAAGACTTACTGGATTCTTGTCAGGTCATCTCCCCTTAAGCTGGGCACTCTCTGTCGCCAAAACCTGCTGGCTTTTCTGTCTTCTCCTTAAATTTGAAATATTTCACAAACATATTTAGAATATATATGAACAAGAGAACCGCAGGGCGAAACAATATCCGCCCGTCGAATGCCATATAGTGTTATATACTTTCTTACATTGAAATAAGATCTGCATCATTCTCATAGTGGTTAGCTGACATGCTATAAAGAAAATCTCTGGACAAAATATCAAATACTAAAATGAACAAAGGGCAATAACTTTTGCAAAAATTGTCAATTCAAAATTCCTTTCAAGCAAACACAACAACATATCATGATTATTTAGCCTACTAAGTTTCAAAAAAATCCGTCAAAAAATGTAGGAGGAGATCTCCGGACAAAAAATCAAATACTGAAATGAACAAAGGGCAATAAGTTTTGGAAAAATTGTTGCATCATAATTCTTTTAAGGGAGACACAACTTCATATCATGATTATAATGTTTACCAAGTTTCAAAGAGTTGGGTCGAAAAATGAAGGAAGAGATTGCCGGACAAACAAAAGTTTACACCGGACAGACGGACGACGCCATACTATAATTAACTCCCGTCAAATTTGACAGGCGTACAAAAAGCAATAAGATAAAGACGACCACGACTATACAGCATTATAGGTGAAAGATACATAGAGGAATATTGATAATGATTTAAGAGTCAACAGAGCAAGTTTGTTCTGAAGAATAAGCTATGGTTGTGTATGTTTCAGAATAAATAGAATAATATCAAAATAATTAAGTTTCAAGAGTAAGTCATGATATACAAAAAAGAAAAATCACGGTAACCTGTTTTCTCTAGCTGCCATTTAAAAGTTTAAAAAAAATAAGAATGACACAATATGTTAGTTATAATCTTGATATTAAACTCTATAACCCCATTGATCATACATTTTACTATTTTAAGCAGTATAAATAATTGACAGTTTGTAGCTCTTTAAATGAAAAATATTACCACAGCAAAAATAAAACCCAATTTACAGATCATATATATCACTTTCAGGGAAAAAGAAACATCTATTAAATATATAAATCAAAATTAATTGTATGTTTGTCTCATATTTGATTAATAATTGAACAGAGTGACTTCCCCTTCATCAGAGTTATCTTACCATGACTTGAGTACATTGTTTCCATGGCTGCGTGTACATGGTGTCTGTCTAAGATCGGTCTGGGGTAGAAATCTGGCGTGTTCATCAGCAGGTTCTCCACAGGGCGGGACACGCTACCTGCAGACAATCAAGTGTGGAAGATTTTAATTGTAAATGTATATATATGCCCACTTGTATAAAACATCTCAACTCTTGAGATTTCCTCAAGTCTAAGATTTCCCATAGACAATACGTTGCTTGAGATTTTCCTTAACTTTGAGATGTTTTATATACCAAGTGGGCCATGATTATGCAATTACGTTCGCCGTCTTACTTCGCACTAGAGAAAATTTGCCTTTGGCTCAGTGGTAGAGCGTCAGAGTAGGAAGTCTGGGATTACAAGTTTGATTCCTGGTGGAAGCACAACACTCTCTTTCCTGTAACAAATGGTGTCCGCTGCTTCTCTGTGGTGACAGGGAGTTAGAACCCCATTGTTGAAGTGTTTGAGGGCGAACACATTTTAAAAGGGAAGTCTTGGACTAATTTTGTACATGTGCATTACCAATTTCTTTCCTGTTTCCACAACCAAAGGGGTCATTTTAGAATATAAAACTGTTGTAATACAGAAAATTAATTTCAACTTCGTTGGGGGGCCATATCAAAAATGATTTTGCAACAAGGAATATGCATGGAATATAAGAAACTTTCACAAAACTAAGGTATGAAACAAATTTTCGGAAAACTGAATAAATAAAATATATTATTTTCCTGACAATGAAAGGATGAATCTGAAGACCAATTATCTATCAGAAAAACTACAGAAAAAAGCATTGACCTAGGAGAAATAAGGTCTGACCATTGAATACTGTCTAAAAATCAAGATTAAGTGATATAATGATATATTTTCAAGGTGAAAGATATCATTTTTATCAAGCTTACAGAATCCTCATAATATATATTTCATATTGCTAAAAAAAAAGTCACAGGAAGAAGAAATGCATACACAAGACTAGGAACTCTAGACAGATGCTCTACCCCAGTCAGCTAACTCATACCTGTTGATCTACCCAGTCCAGTTCCTTTTGAGTCTCTCCTTTACTTATAGTCCTTGCCCCAAAATACAATATTGTTTACAGCCAAGGTTACCCCTTACGTTTGCCTGGCATACACGTGCACCCAGTACTTGAAACAAGGGTTGGTCACAGGCACCACCTCAACAGGAGAGGAAAACTGCGCGGCCAAGCCAGGATTCGAACCCGGGACCTATAAACTCTATACATGTATGTATATGCTCTAAGGCAAAAATTATGTAACGTAGTCGGATTTTAGTGGAGGGTCTTGGCGTAATAACAACCGACACAGGATTCTCTCTTCATAGATGTGTTTAATGATGGACACGAGAATATAGACAAAAGTCCTTGGCATGTGGTGCCCAGGACGTGAATAAATAAATAAAGATTAGATCTACATCTTGGTGAAAAATACAACCTCTCTGATAGATGGTCAAAGAAGAATTACCAAACGGCAGCAAAAGTACAAAAGAGAGAAAAGGAAAACGCAACGCACATGTCCTGTACTTTCCGTCAGTGGTCAAACCTGTTTTATACCTACATACGTCACACGAACACTCTCCAGACACTCACAAACCGCACATACAAAACACACAGTGTGTAAGATACGCACAACGCAACAATCACACAACGAGCACCGTACGCATATCAGACCAACAGACACACACAAACACGACGTGGGATACGAACAACACAGACATAACACAACGAGCGATAACAAATATAAATCCTGAAAACAATCCAAATTAACAGGGTGCCACAATTAAATGCATGTATTTCAGGTATCCCGACCTACCCTAGACTTTACAGCCGAACCTAGATACTTTATCACCTACTTGTATCTAAGATTAATTTATTAGCCTGTAAGGCAAAGTTCACAGCCATTCATTAAAATGAACTTTCTTCCTATTCTGGGAGTCTGACCTTATTCTTGACAAATTAATAGCCATTGTAATGTGTGGAAAAGCATTTTAAAATCTGAAATAAAGCATAATTAACATAATTCAGGAAAATAAAAAGTTAGCATTAGAAACAAATTATTTGCCTACCGACCTACCTTATTTTGCTCGGGCATGTTACATGAAACAATATTTTTTTTGGCTTAACCAACCAAGCTACCTGGTTGTCGGCAATCAACCCAGTCCAGTTCTGCTATAAATGTATTAAAATTCAATAATAATAATAGTTACTCACTTGATAGGTGGTTCCGTAGATGGTTCCAGTCCTTCAAGTGAAATTTCCATGTTTTCAATGGACTACAGTAATCCTCCACCTGGGGCGTCTTCTTCTTCTTCGTAGAACGCTGACTGGTGAACAAGTGCTGAAAAAACACAGGGGAGGTAACTTTAAAATAGACGTAAGGGGAGGTAACTGGTACCTGTCCGAATTTTCGGCAAGTATCGATCTGAGGCCTGGGATTTTGGGACCCATTCTTACAGTCCATGATCATTGATCTCCTTCTTTTTCTATTTAAAATATGTTGGTTTAATATCAATTCCTACATAAATGACAATGAATACACATGTAGATATAAAGTGGTTAACATTTAGTTTGAAGAATTAAAATGATTAAATTGACTAAATTAGCTGAAGCATTAAACCTAATGATTCTCAATGAGATTTCTCATAGAAATCACACTTACCTGAAACTCTCCTCTCTGCAGGGCCATCTTTTTGAAATCTTGCAGTCCTCCCAGGATACTGTGGGGGATGAACTTGCCTTTGTCATTGAATCTCGGACCAGCATAATCTGTGTACAAAGTTTATTGTGGATCATCGTCAATCAAGGTTTATAAGATGTATTTTTCAGTACAAACTTAATTTTAAATGAAAAAAAAAGAAAAATGTAGGTTTTTGAAAATTTTTTTCAGGACAAAATTTATTTAAAATGAAGAAAAAAAATGTGTTTGATTAAACAGTGTTTAGGTGGAGTAATTTTTGAGTTTCTTTTAATCTTGATGGCGTACTTATATCTTTACTGTACTGTATTTCTGCAGAGGATGGAGCGGGTTTGAGAACCATAACTGTTTTCCTGGAAAAATAAAAAAATAAAATAAAAATCTTTGTAATCATCCAAATCAGCATGACATACACAATACACATAGTTCTCATTAAAAGCTGGTTGTTGGCAAAAGATTAGCTTGCTTATATTCATCAACTTTGAACCACTTAATTAGCTATTGTTTCAGAATATTCAACATTACTACATGTGAACAATGAAGACCAGCCTGGGCCCGTATCCATGAAGCTGTTCTTATGCTAAAGCATGGATTTTATGCTCAAGCCAAATTTTTTGTTCCAGTTATAGATTAATAAATAAATATTATTTTGTCAATGATTTGGAAACAAAATTGAATAGACTTAATTAAAGCCCAAAACTGTTTCCAATGTTTACATTTGACTTTTGGATCATTTGAAAAGATTTCTAGCAAGTTACAAGCAAGTTAGTTTGAGCACAGATTCCATGCTTGAGTATGAAAGCTGTTTCATGGATACGGGCCCAGGGCCTGTATTCATGCAACCCTTCTTATGCTCAACCTCAGATTCTTTGCTCAAGCCATTTTTCTTCTTCTGGTGATAAATTAAGAACAAAAGTCATTTTGTTAAACTTAATTTGGAAACAAAAGTTGCTACAACAGATAACCTATTCGTTGTCCATCGACTGATTAAATTAACCTTACAACTATGTAATGCAACACTTCTGTCTACTTTTGTCAAAATAAATAAATAAATAAAAATCTCAACTATAACTTTAAAATTGTATTGGGATTCAAGATGATAGAATGAATAAATGAAATACAATAAACATTTCAATTCTACTCTTTTATTTGATTCAATTTCATTTCTTAAAAATCAACTTTGGAAAATTTGTATTAGGCCCCAGACAAAAAAACCTGTAGGTATAGGTAACAAATTTTATTTTAAGAAATAATTTAAAAGGGTTTGTATAAGAGACAGTGCTTCTTTGAAAATTGCCTTGAAAAGTTCAGGGATGGCATCAGAAAGTAGCTAGGGTTACTGGAAACACCAAATATTTTTTGTTCCACCTTATAACTTTTTAAGTTTATCAAACTCAGGTGAACAACTGCATGGTGTATGGAGGTGATCAACTTACTCGGGAGTTTCTGGGTTCAATTTACGAACTACGATAGTCTTCTCTTCAGTGTCGTCATTTAACCATTCACCTTTCCTCTGTCTTTCCATGAGCATTTCTGCTCTTAACTGAAGATATTTTTTAAAAAAAAGAGGAAAGCATTTAGAATATATGTTCTTGTTAATCATCATATAATGTTATTTTTCTTTTTCAACAGAAATCATGTAGATCTGATTTCAACTCATTAACTTATTAACCCTTTCACCCCTAAGTAACTTCAGTAGACTCTCCGATGTATTGATATGGACGATTCCATTATGGTCTACAGTGGTGAATGGGTTAAGGGTGTATATATAATTCCACAATATACACCTGTCCATGAGCATTTCTGCTCTTAACTAAAGAAATTTAAATAAAAAAGGAAAACATTCAGAAATATGTTCTTGTTAATCATCTCTAAATAATATTTTTCTTTTTCAACAAAAATTATGTAGATCTGATTTCAACTCAAGGGTGTACATGTATAATTCCACATAGCGATAAATAATTTTAAATGTCCATGTGACGGTAAAAATATAAATAAAAGCAAGACATGAAGACTAGCATAATCGGCTAGCAATTTCGCCTATCAAGATGGGCGAAAGCGCTAGCTAATTCCACATATATATACCTGTCCCCCCCCTCTCTCTCTCTCTCTCCCCACTTTGGCAAATATCTTTAAGGAAAATTTTGGCTGGATTCTCTTAACTCTTAACTCAGGGGTGTACAACATTTTCAAAATTTAATACTACGAAAATATATAAATTGGGCCAGCATTTGTCAAATCCTGCCTCAGTCTTTTCCGTCTTTGCGCATTACAGAGTTATCTTCTCTTGTGAGCAGGTATTGATTGTTACGTCATTGGTTTGTGTGAGAAAATTACGTCGTTTTCTCAAAAAAATGATGATGTTACTCCCACAAACAAATGACGTACCAATCAATACCTGCTCACAAGAGCAGATAACTCTGCAATATGCGAAGATGGAATAGTACCCTAAGCATAAAAATGAGCACTCCTTTGATTAAAAAAATGAAAATTAATGCATTCCACAATTGTTAATCATCTCAAAATAATCTGATCTTCTTTCTCACCATTTGATATAAATTCCAAATTGGTTATTAATCAGTTGCTTAATGATTTTTATCATAAGTTAAAAAGTTAATTGATTTCAACCATTTTATTACAGTGACCTACCATTAGAAAATCAATAGGTTGAATGACTGTCTTCTTTAATTCTTCGTCCCATATCTTCGGTTTGGGCTCCTTCCTTTTCTTCTCTACAGTTTTGAAAAGGAATATTTATACAAAAATAACAATCACATATAAGCTAAATCTCTGTTCCTGCGTCAGAAAAACACATTAAAATTCCATTCTTTTCCTCTCGGCTATTTTGAAAAGGAGTGTTTATACAAAAATAACAATCACATATAACGTAAATCTCTGTCCCTACACCAGAAAAACACATTGAAATACAGGGTACCAGCAGTACTACAAGATAGTTACATTGTATGTCATTTATTGTATTATGAAATAGCGAGTCATTTCAATTATGGCATTATTACAACATAAGCTACTATATCATTATTTAAGGATTAACTTGAATACACTTTTCATGTTATGGAGCTATAACACATAAAAACGGAGTGTACTCTAAATAAACTGTGAAGCAGTTTATGATGAGAGTACACTCCCGTTTTTTGTGTTATAATAGCTCCATAACATAAAAAATATATCCAAGTCAATTAATTTAATCTAATGTACACAATCCCTGTGGAAATCCACTTTTATTGATGGACTCTTTTCTTAGAAATTATTATGCTGCTGTATCAGCCAATCAAAAGCGATGATACAAACGGCGACGTAATTTTTTTACGTTATGGGCTGATAACATCAATTTTTAAGCCAATGAAAATGCTTGTTACAAGCCAGATTAAATTATCATGAGATAGCTACAAGATGTATGTTGGTATTGTATTATGAGACTGCAGAAAGTTGTTATTTATAACGACATTATTATTTTTTTTCTGTGTCCTGTACCTGGAAATTTAAGGTTCAAGGAACTTGGGGCTAAGTTATTACTGGAATATATGCAGGTATAATTTAGAAAAGAGATTCTTTATCAAAATCTAAATGGTACGTGCTTTGAAATTTTGTGTATCTGTTTAACAGCATGATGGACAAACAACTGAAAAAGAGAAAGTAGCCACAGCAAAGGACCTTTGAGTTCACTTTGACAACACCCTAAAATTCTCAACCCTAGTCAATGCAGCAGCAGGGGTTCACACTAACACCTGTCCGTTAGTCCTGGACGAGTAGATTTCAGCAAGGACTAGTGAATCACCTAACTTAACTGGTCCTTTGGACTTGTGAAAAATATGATTATAAAATAAGAATATTCCTTTTCAAAAGTTAGAAAACTGCTTAAAATAAGATAAATTGCATGATAATTGTCAACATTTTCCCAAAACCGTTACCATTTTTTTTATGTCAGTTGTTATTTTAAGTCTCCTACAGTCAATTCCTTTTGATTCCTTAAGGACTAATTACATTGATGAAGGACTAGTAACTGAGTAACTGTCGAAAGCTAAACAAATGTTTGGAACTTTCATTTTCATGGACATAGCTCTTTTTACAACCCTGTACAAGTCCCTAATCCGTCCACATCTGGAATATGCTACGCAAGTGTGCATGGTCATCGTCTCTAAACAAGGCCAAAATAGCCATCGAAAATGTCCAACGACTAAAAGAGTACTATAAATACAGAATATGCCCTACCATGAACGCCTGAGAACATTAATTACCATCTCTGGTATACAGGAGTGAGAGGGCAGTATCACTCAGAGGTCACTCTAAAAAAAATATTCAAGAAACTTAGGCTTTCATGCTAAACACTAGTAAGAATATCTTTAGTTTACCAAGTGATCAAGGTCTGGAACAATCTACCTGAGAAAACTGTGTCATCAAAAAAATACTTAATGAGTTTAAGTCTACACACTGTGGATGATTCACCCTAGAAAGTTCTGCCCTTCCTTTTATCATTAATGAATCACATGGGAATCTACACACAGGGGCTTGTATAGCTTTATATTAAATGTTATATGATAAAATTAGCTTGAAATACCTATATATATAAAGGTATTTCAAGCTAACTTTATCATATAAGTCTTTATCATATGTTTACTAATAATAACACCCTTTTTGTATGTGTAATAAGTCTAAAATTTCCACAAGTTGATATCAGCCCGGGTGATATCATAACCCCTTGGAGTGATATCACACCCCCTTGAATGTGATATCACACCCCTTAGAAAAGTGATATCACATCCCCTCCCAAATTTCCAGATCTTGCCGCTTCCGCCTAATGCTGTCTACTTTTAATGTAAACAAATGAATCGTTGGGATGGAATGACTGCGGTTTCATGGAAAATAATTCAAGGATTGATTTACAAAGCCCCACCCAAATTTCAATAACCATATCATTTTGTAGGAATTTAGGAATTTCTAAATGTGGACTTTTTTATGTATAATTGTTACTGTTTTGTTTATATACATCATTGTTTTTGTAACCATTTTTATGAATATAAATAAATATTTTTTTTGTGTATGTTTTGTTTATTTTAAAGGAAAAAAACATATGATAAAAAGTTTATGATATGACCATTTTGATATCACATCCCCAATCAGCCCTCGAATCCTAATATCAGCCCTCTGCCTGATATCAGGACTCTCTGGCTGATATGGGGTGTGATATCAAAATGGTCATATAATAATCTCTAAATACAAGCCCCAGTGCATTAACTTGTTACATGAGTAAATGGTGAAAATACATGATTTTTAAAGAAATGCTCAGGGTGAGTGGGAGGGAGGGGGGTTTCTTGAAGCCAAAAAAACCCTCTGGATCCGCTACTGCCTATCAACGTTCAATAACAACAAACAGTGCATATAATGTATGTTAGCAAAAATTTACTTTACCTGCATTCGGGACTGAGCCTGTCGTCTGAGCAGTACTCGAGACCTTCTTTGTAATCTTAGCAGACGCCTGAGGCATCAGACTCTTCTTGTTCTTGAAAGCACCCTTCCCAGCCTTGGTATTTTTGTTCCCAATGCTAGTTTTACTTTCCATTATTAGAAATCAGTGTTTTCTCCGTCTTAAATTCAATCTTAATTCAGGAGCGTCCTGAACTAGGATGCTGTGTCCAATAAAAACACAAAACAATGGACAATTGTCAGCACGTATGGTACACAGAAACGTATGATGTCACAATGAAGCACACATTTATTTATTTTTTTCCTGTTTTTAAATTGATGTTAGCTTTCATGAGTAGAGTAAAAATTCGACTCATACTAGAGCTTAAAAGGTTTCTGGATCTACGAAAACAGAAATATCGGGAAACAGCATCACTGTTCCCATCCTACCTTGGTTGCTATGGAGGTTTCCAGACAGCCATGGTTCCTTTCGTCGAACTTTTATCCAGAACACATGTTAGTATTGAATATTCACTAAAATAATAAATTGGACGTTTAAAATATTGTTCAAAGTTCCATGAGAAAAGTAACAAACAAGCAATAAAAATGTTTTTTCAAAAACCCCGCTATACAACTAGTTTTCTTTTAAACGAGAGTTATGCCCCCTATATCGGAGCAACTTCCGTTTATGCCGGTAAAGAAGAAAGTCCCGTAATATTGGCGTAAAATGAAGTTGTTTTATCGAGGAAACTGTAAAACACTTAGCATTGACAGTTACAAAAACTTGGAGAGTAGTATCTTATGTGTTTTTATATCAGAAAATATACGCTTGAATCTTGAGTGTGAATCCGTTGAGCAAGCTGAATATGCGAAGGGAAATTATGATGAGCTGTTCATAATGAACTTCATTGAAAGCCGAATGAAGTGGTGGTTATAGTCGTAGATGACCTCCAAAGAACGTGAAGAGAAGGCGCATTTGGCGTAAACAAACTTAGAATTTGAAGATTCCAGTGAGCTGCAATCGTGTTAGGATTATACAGAAATCTAGAGCACCGGCCATGTCCTTCGGAAGTAGGCCGAATTGCTGTATTATTTTATGATAAAATCCAGAGATGTAGCCGAATGACGCTGCAGACGACAAGAAAACCTACTGGCTGTTGTGACGATGTTGTGTTTGTAGACGTTTCAAAGGTTTGTATTATTTGATTAATATAAATATTTTGAATAAACCAAATGATTTATGTTTGTTTTATCAAACCAGCATTATTGCTACTAACTTATAAGCACAGGCATACTATTAGAGTTAAATTAAACAACAATCTCATCACCAATTTTAAAAATGTTTTGAATATGATACATTTTCAGTTACTTAATTATAAGAATAAATAAGAAAATCACACTTGCCCCAAATTGTAATTCAACTAGAAAATGTTAACCATTTCACTCCTATTTATCTTTATTAGACTCTACCATGCATTGATATGGATGAGTCCATTTTGTTCTATGATATGTGGTGAAAGTGTTAATATTGCAGGCAAATAGCTTATTTGCCTTGGACAATGTATATTATAAATTAAATTGTATACCTCTCTAACTTGAAAACAGGTAGGGTAAATATTGAAAAATTCCAAAATTATGTTTGAGTATTAATAATAGCTACAGTTACAGGGACTAAATGCCCCTGATTTGTTTGTATAAGTTGTTAACTTATCTCTAGTGTAACAGATCATGAGACAATGTTTACAGTTAGTGGTCAAAGGTGAGAAGTCAATCAGTACGTTTTAAAGGTCAAAATGTCACAGGCATAGGAGAATGTTAGGACAAGCTGTCTATGGAAATATATATCAGTCAGAATATAATCACTGTCGGCTTCACTGCTAAGACCTTATCAAATTAATGTATGTCATTGTGAAAATGTGTAATTGGCTGTGTAAATGTGTGAAATCATATACACTGTTCAGGTTGGGATTATTAATTAGTGTTCCCTGAGAGTTAATCCCCACAAAAAAGTGGATGGTGATTTTGAGAGATTTTAAGGTAAATATTTGAGTGTTCATTTTAAATCTGATTGGCTGTATATACAATATGAAGATTTTTTTTAAAACACTAACATAACATTAACATGAAATAATTGTTCGAAATTTTAAAGCTCCTGCAGTGTTTTTTCAATAGTCGCGTAGATGCTTTCAAACAAAAGATCATGAGTTTCCATTTTATATGAGGTTTACAAAAAAAGTTTGCATTTTTCGAAACTGAAGGGAACACAATGGGACAAGTTTTATCTTTGTTATTTTGAAATAAAAATCCTTTGTATTGTAACAAAGGTAATAACATGCACTTTTATGATGTCTCTGCTCAAGTCCTGATCTTGCTAAATAGTCTGACTCTGATGCTCGACAGATTGAGCATCATGCACACTTGACTAAATATAAATACAAACTGTATCTTTTTTACAACAATTATGAAACAAGTTATTACAACTCTTGTTAGCCCGGATGTAAGGTTGCAGGGGTTCTTAATGTGGGAGGAAACCAGAGTACCTGGACAAAACCCACTTGAGCCAGAGGTCCCCAATAGTGTAATCCTAGTTGAAACCAGAAAAATTGTGACCTTCTTACACAGCATGTACTGCTACAGTCCCACCACCATTCTAAAATGAATTCGAAGATTTGTTCAAAAAAATATCTTAAAATGTCTCTAAAATCTTTCTCTGAACACTCGTAGCATTACCATTGATTACCTTTTGTTTAAATATTTTCATCTTCATTATTTTTTCATAAAAGTCGGTATGACTTTCTTTTCAGAAATGTCACTTATCAAAACTATAATAATCATGCTGAAAAAAATAAATCCATTGCATACATTTTTGTAATTACAGTTTTTTGGGATCCTTATTGGTTTGGTTTGGTTTGTGTGTTTTACGTCAGACCTATTAGCAGTCTAAATGGTCATTTAAGGAACCGAGGGGATCGGGATCCTATATTAAAACAAGACATAATTTCAGACAAATTTACTTACCGTAAAAACCCATGTAATTTGCGCACTTTTTTCCAGAAGTTTAATACTTAAAGTGGGGGGTGCGTAAAATACACAGGTATAAGAAATTTCATTTTTTTTTCAGGAAAAGTTTGACAATTCTGGTAGACCGCCATCTTGGAATATCTCCCTTGGTACACGGAATTCTAAGACAAATGACGATCAACAAATTTATTTAAGTCAAACATTAATAAAAGATACAGTTGATACATAATGTGTTGTTACCTGAGTTTATGTGAAAAGTATTATTAAATAGGTAACTGTTAACAAAGAAAGTTTAGCCAATTTCCTATGTCAGAGAATCGCCGATCAACTTTATTACGTTTCAACATCTCGGTGCGTTTTCCCCATTAGCTTACTATTACGAAAATATAGTTGTTCAATTTAAGCTCTGTTCCATGTAAGTTCTGTTACAGTAGTTGCCTAAGAAATTACACTTATTATTATTGTTGGTGGTGGCTTTTTAATTTTTGTTTTTTAATTTTTCGATTGTTTCAGATGGAGTGGCCGCTGCACTTTTTTGTGTTGGCTGATTTTAACCTTTGGATTACGATTTGTTTCATCATATTTAACCCACTAGTCTGGAATGTTGTAAGTCATGTTGTTTCAACAAATAAAAAAATGAACTGATTTTTATGATTTAAATGTTCACAAATATAATTATCATAACTCATAATGATAAAATTATTGATTACATGTATAATAAAAAATAATTAAAACTCTGACACTGATAACCAGAATTGAAATACTTGCCATTATTGGTTATGGATATTAATTAGTAATTAGTGATGTGGTATTTTTTATCAAAAAAATGTAAAAATGAAAAATAAAATGTTCTGAAGCAGAAAGTAACATTTCAAACTAACAAAAAGTTTATGAATTGAACATTTTTATTAATCAAATGTCCAATTCATTTCCTGCATATCTAGCAATAACTTTATAATGAATAAAGATACAAATGATAACTTCTACCCAAAATTATCCATTTTCTGTTTAAGGTTGCAAGATGGGAGTACAGAAATGGTGGAATAAGGAAGGTCCTTGGTGGGAAGAAACGGGGCGTAATCTTGATGGCTATCCTGATTCTTTCTCTGGGCGTGTTAAGAGACTGGATGTAAGTCAGAACACTTAACTCATTCACCCCTAAACACACATTTTAACTCTTCCAATTAACTCATTCACCCCTAAACACACATTTTAACTCTTCCAATTCAAAGGTTGGAATAGCTCATTATGAAATTTCAGGGGTAAGTGAGTTCATTTGTAGAGTTTGTCTTTCATCTTTGGGTAATTAGGAGACTGGATATAATTTGGGATTGCCTCCCTTACTTGTAATAACATAATTGTTGTCTCGACTTCACTTAATATTATATTAGTCTGGATGGTTTCCATTAATCTATAACGGCTTCTAAATCTGTTGAGATAGTGAATGCAAGTCAGGGTTGTCTCCCCTTATTTATAATAAGCCTGTCAGGATTATCTCCCTTAATCAAATGCATGTTTATTGGTAACTATTCAAATGGCAAATTGAACATATCCTTTGACGAACTGTTTGTCATCAAGTTTTTCATTTTATACACTGTAACATTTCAGCAAAGGAGGACCTCAATGGGCACAATAGGGTAAACACTGATAAATCAGTGTTATTTAATCTTAACCCTTTCACCACTGTAGACCGTAATGGGCTCATCCTAATAAATGAGTGGTAGAGTATACTAAAGTTACATATAGGGGTGAAAGGGTTAAAAATCTTACTCTTACGTCATGAGTAAAGGGATCTTAAAATAAAAGATGGTATGGCTTGCCCTTTAACCGAGGATATTCAACATCATATACATGGAGGTGTGATCCCCTGGGGGCAGATCAGTCTCCGGAGGTTAAATAAAGGTAAATGTTTAAAATCTTACTCCTTGAACATTAAAGATAAAGGGTTTGAACCTAGTTTGTTCTGGAGCATCCATGGGCTTAAGGAACTCAATTTCTTTTGAGAAAAAAAAATCACTGGACCAAGGGAACAGCTAGTGTATAACTAAAAGGTATGGCCACACTGTGGGCTGCGAGAGCTGATGGTCGAGGCCTCATCCACTATGGGTACATGTATTATATTCTCTACATGTTCTCAGCTTATTTTTATTGTGCTCTCTCACTGTACCTAAACCATATTTGACATACATTTTAAAATCAATAAACATTGAGGGCTCAATCACCCCTGAAATTTCATAATGAACTATTCCAACCTTTGAATTGGACGAGTTCAAATGTGTCTTCAGGGGTGAGTGAGGTAACAGATGCAGTCAGATTATGTCCCTTAACGTTTGAGTAAATATCGGTGTTATAATGTCCCACCCTTCATCCTCCCTTGATTCTGAAAATAGTGCTCCATAAATACAATTTCACCAGATCGGAACCTGGGTCTAGGTAGACGCATAGTAGTTACTAATGAATTAGTTAAACCTGACTATTGGAACATTCTTATATTATTCCTGGAGCAGTGACTGACGTCAATTGGAACAGCGATAAAATCTATGAAATCAAAATGATACATCATGTAAAATAATACTTTTCCTCTTGACTGAGACACAACCTGATCAGAAATTCATTTCCACAGATTCTGTTTTTGTCATGACATATTTCAGGATTGCAGGATTGCAGAAATTGTAAGTGAACTAAGGAATGTCAAGGATATCTTATATCATGAGAATTGTACGTCTTTCCCAGGTTCAAGTTGATGCTTGACAGTCAGCCAAAATGGCCAAGGTTGTATGAGAACCGGATACTATGGTCTGGATACGCCTCAATGTGGATAGGAACCACACTTGTATTCTCTAGCTTTTACAGTCTGGGCTTCTATGGAACATTCCTGGGTATGTACAAATCATTAACTACTTGTACACTGTACATGTACTGTGAATTAACTTCACTTTAATTGAAATTGGAAAATGTTATTCTTTTTTCTTCAATTTGAGACAGTAAAGCCTTTTTTTGCTTGCAGTCTGTTTTTGACTGTTAACTAAAGTGCCAAAAAATCACTGCAAAGGGAGGTCAAACCTACACATTTGAATTTGTGTTTGATATTTTGAAATATTGGCAACAAAAGGCAACCTCTTTACAAATAAATATATATCCTTATAGGTAATAAAGAAAAGTGGCTTATGTCTATTCCATCGGCATGTGAAGTGATGGTTACCTTCCCATCTAAAACATGATGCAGTGGAACCCGCTTATTATGATATTCTATTTGCCGGTGGAAAAATATTACATTAATCAATATATTATAATAAATGATCAAGCTTGTTTTCGATAATTTTTAGGTTGTCTTAACAGGAAGTGAGATGCCCTATAATCATCAGACAAAGATATATATATATACAAACTGATAAAGTAATAATTGAAATAATTTGTTAATTGTTATGTATTGGAAAACTTCAAGAAGATTTCATTTTGCCCTCGTAATGATCAGTATGTAATTCTACCTTCAAATAACTTTGAGCATATTCCTAAGAACTATTGTATACTACATCCTAGCCAACGATATACCCTAATGTAACAGTCAATAGGATGAAAGAAGTGATATAAATAATCATGATTTACCTATAATGTCCAACTTTACTGAGATACAGTCGTACAATTGTAGTTTCATGTTACATGTCAGTGTTTTCATTCATTTTATAATGAGAATGTATCAGAATAATTGGCTCCTTTGATATATA